ACTGTGTTTTGATAATTCTGTTGGATGTGTTGTGTTAAAATCGGCAAGACTTCCGCCCGTATCCCCCATAAATTTTAACCATGAGGAAAAGTTTCTTTGAGTGGCATTTTTAAAAGTTGGATATGTCTTTCAGTATGTTAAGATACAATTAAAGAAACATGCTAAAACTCATCCTTACCAGATGAGGAATATATATATTCAGGTGATATGATTGACTAGAATGAAATTTAAGGGGGGATACGGGCGGAAGTCTTTCCATAAAATCAGCAATATTACATGTAATATAAACAATAACACAATGTTATATACTCATGGAAACAAATAAGGGAACACATGAAAGTACAAGTGTTCCTTTATTCTTTACCAGGTTTCTTCACAAGGTATGTATTGCACTGTGGTCGAAATTCTGGAAATAAATATAGGAACACTTGTACTTTCGTGTGTTCCCTTATTTGTTTCCATGAGTATATATTAGAAATAATACATTTTGGTAGCTGAAAAAATTACAAAAATTACAAATAATATGTTGTGATGGTTAAAAAAATGTTACAAATAATGTGGCTATAGCATAGTACAAAAGACAGTAACTGAAAGGTTTTACGAATAATGTATCGCAATAGCTAAAAGCAATGTCACTATTGTATCATTTTGCCTGAGAAATCTTACATTTAATATACATACATACAAATATTTATATAGCGCTAGTTTCTGGCATCTGCCACTCAAAAGCGCTGGAAATGAGTCTGGAAAGACATTGGTCAAGTTCGGTAGGCAGCACTGAACAAATGAGTTTTCAGTTGTGACTTAAATGCTGGTAGATTCTCTTGCGATCTCAGGTGCATAGGTCGACTGTTTCACATTACTGGACCAGCTTTTGTGAATGAATATGTGACAATGGTTAAAAATTGTTACAAATAAAATGTCACAGTGGCTAAATATATTACAAACTGTACACCACAGCGGCCTGTAATAGTCATGCACAGTATTCACTAATAGCGTCTGACCCTCTGACAAATCTGGCAGATTCCCCAACGGTCTGATAGAAGTCTACAACCCGCCGTCCCCAGTGTCGGACTGTATATTTCACAATAACTTTGACTGAAGTTGTTATATGTGACATGTGACACTTGTTATAAATCTTATGTTTGTTAATAATTTCAGTGCCAATTATAACAGATGTTAAATCTGAAATGTGTGTTTAATTTTATTCTATGGGTCCTGTGAATTTTCAACGAGTCAGACAGACATCTGAAACTTACAGGACCCATGTCCTGTTACTTGGAAACACCATTAGTGAACACTGCATGCCAACCAGATATTGGGCAACATCAAGGTGTGGTGACTCTATCAACCAACTAACTTGGTCTGAGATCCAACTGGGTTACTTGTTATGACAGGCGAGACAGTACTGGGACTTGTTGTAAATTGGGTCCCCCATAGTGGATAATGAAGGTGGTCAAGGGAGCATGTGGCCATACCGGTATGAACAGAACTTTGTGAAACTGTCATATAGGACTCAGATCACAATTCTACTGCGTCCTCTTGATTCAACTTTGACAGGTGCATTCATGCTATCAAAGGTGTGGTCCTTCCAGATAGACAAAGTCCATACACTATCACAGCTGGGTAGGGCTGTTAGAAAGACATGGTCAATACATTATCACAAAAGGGTGGAGCTATTGGGAAGAGATGGTCAATACACGACATGCTAGTCCTTCGGGACATTCTGGAGGATGAGTCCTGAGTGACTTGTCCGCAATACATGCTTCACTTCTAGTAATGAGCTGGAATCTCCACAAATCTCTGTCTGTTATCCTACCATAGTCAATGGACAGTTCCCCCCTGCCCCCTGCCATGATCCTGGAGACAAGTCAGTGGACAGTTCCCCCCCGCCCCCTGCCATGATCCTGGAGACAAGTCAGTGGACATTCCCCTAGTACCTGCCAGACACAGTAACAGGCTATCAAACCATGGGCCTTAGTCTAAGTTCCCCTGACATCCAGGGGACATCATACACAGACACAGTAACAGGCTTAGTAACCATACATTCATGTATACTCAATACAAACCAATTATAGGCACATTTGGACATGCCTGCTTACCTCAAAGATCCCGCTATAATCTGACTGATAAGTATTGATAATGTGTTCTCATCATATATAATATCTGGCTGTAGTAGATCATGACAGTGTGTGAACATAATTTGATATATAGCCTGGCAATCTGCGGAATCCATGCCAGCTTTGTCCATATGGAACTGGCAGTATTCAAATGCATCGGGATTATTGCAGACTACGTTTTAGTAGGTATGCTTTTCCAGTATCAGAAGACTGGTTGGTGTCAACTCTCTCAGTTACTGACTGTCAATGACTACCACCCCAACCTTTGCTAAAGATGCCCAGAGACATTGATTGTGTACACCTCCTAAAGTCTGTTTGCAGTGAAAACGTAGCGATGAATTTCGCTTTAAACAAAAAAGTAAATCAAATAAAGTGAAATTAAGATTGCGAATCCTCTTAATTTTACCTTGCCAATTGAACATTTAAATATCAGAATTTTATTCATCTTAGGATAAAAGTTGTTTTACAAACGATCATAGATTCCAATCGCTATTATTGGTTTGTATTACAAGGGGGTAAGCGTAGTGGTTGGAACAGTGAAACAAATGCACGTGCGGTACATGATGAGCGTTAACTTAGACCAACCATATTTGTTCTAGGTGTTTCATCTAATGTGCATACCCCCTTGTAGTACAAACCAATAATAGCGGTTTGAAACCATGATCGTTTGTTAAACTTATTTTATTCTAAGTTGAATAAAATTCTGAGAGTTACATGTTCAATTGGCAAGGTAAAATCATGAGGATCCGCAATCATATTTTCACTTTATTCGATTTACTGTTTTGTTTAAAGTGAAATTCATCACTACGTTTTCACTGCAAACAGACTATAGACATTGATAACTTATTCCAACTCCATGTCATGGACCACACTCATACCACTGTGTCCACCCTCCCAGTGTCCACCTACCCAGTTTATACCACTGTGTCCACCCTCCCAGTGTCCACCTACCCAGTTTATGCCAGTGTCCACCCTCCCAGTGTCCACCTACCCAGTTTATACCTGTGTCCACCCTCCCAGTGTCCACCTACCCAGTTTATACCTGTGTCCACCCTCCCAGTGTCCACCTACCCAGTTTATGCCAGTGTCCACCCTCCCAGGTTCACTCCCACACTTCCCAGTTGTCCCATTGTGTACTGTCCCACCCCATCAATCCATCCTCCCACTCCATGATTGTGAAACCTACCCTTCCACTGTTCCACTAACATTAATGCCTTCCAATCAAGTTCATAGTTCCAATACCTGCTGTTTGATACCCAAGTAGCCCTGGGTTTCTAAGCCCTACCTTCCCAGTCCATCATTTTGATGCCCACCCTTGTACTCTGTAATTTGGACAACCAATATTTCATTCCTTGAGGGTGATGGCATACCCCAGTAATTAAAGCATTCGTTCACATGCTGATGCCTGGGTTCAATTCCCCATGGGTTTGTACACGAAGCCCATTAATCCTTTGGAGATCCAACCTCATTTACATCATAGCCATAAATTCCTCTTTGGACCTAAAATAAATCTTTAGAATTTTCAACAGTGGTCCTCTTTACTGCTAACATGGCTAAAGGTTTAGAGATATACCCACTCACTTACATGTCACTCAGCTACAAACCAATTTGGATATGTCTGTGAAAACTATGTACAGGGTGGCTAACATTTACTGACTACATGTTTAATCAACCAGAACCTACTGAGAACTTGTAGCCATGCTACTGGCAGAGAGCCAAGCATGTTTGGGAGACAACATACTCCTGTGTGGCAGGTTATATGGTACACTGCAGAATACTGCAGATAATAGAGTTTGAATCAATGTGTACCCTACCACTCATTTATGGTTGATTTAATGAGAGTACAATCAATATTTGTCATGTATGTAGACATATCCGTGTAGAGATAAGCTGATGACAGTACAGCTGAGGTACTGTTAGCTGCCAGGTAACTCAAAAGTGTTCACTGCAAAAAAATTGATAAAGAAATAATTAAGATGTTAAACTGTGTCCATGTCTTTTAAGACAGTGACAGCTGAAGAGAGTCATATTTGTTTAGTCCAGTAGAGTATTGGAGTCCTCCTCTCTCAATTTTGAGGGTAGACATCATGAGTTAAATATGATTTGTCATTCAACATATATAGAATTGTTATGCATTCTGGACTAACAGCTTAACTTCAGTGTAATTTAAAGATAAACCATTAGTCCTTAAAGCCCTTTATTTAGGACAGTGACTTTAAAACCTAGGCCATGTATGTATGTATAAAAGTGTTTTTGTGTCAATTAGTCTAAACATGTTTTTAGGGCAGTGGGGTAGCCTTGTGGTTTAAGCACTGGCTCATTACGCTGAAGACCCGGGTTCGATTCCCCACATGGGTACAATGTGTGAAGCCCATTTCTGGTATCCCCGACCGTGATATTGCTGGAATATTGCTAAAAGCGGCATTAAAACATACTCACTCACTTACTCACTAAACATGTTTTCAGTATCTTCAGGGGCAGTGGGGAAAGCCTAGTAGTTCAAGTGTTTCTTCATCATGCTGAAGACCTGTGTTCGATTCCTCAAGTGGTTACAATTTGTGAAGCCCAAGTCTTGTGTTTTCTGTGATGACATTGCTGGAATATTTCTAAAAGCTGCATAAACAGGAATCAGTCACTTCTTTCCTTTGTGGTAAATTTCATCTGAATATTTTAGGATAAACATACTTGACTGAAATGTAGTTGAGCTCTTGAAACTGAAATCTCTGAAATTGCATCTAGTCTCAAGATGTGTTTTAGGGGTTTTTTCAATAAATTTGTTATTGTCAATAGAAGTGACCGAAGCCACTGCTTGCTTCGGTAACATTTATGTTGCAATATTTCATTTTAGACTTCAACTGATTTTGACTTTCTTTCTTCCAGGAGGTACTGCAACAACTGCTCATCCTCAAACTTCCCAACATCCACGCCATCTGCCGCGACCCACATAAAGGTAATGTTGTCATTTTGTAGCCATCAAGTTGTATACCAATGCATCCTTTACATGGCCAGTTGGGCTTACCGTCTTCCAGTAGTACACCATCAAACCATGTCATCTGTATTGATTCCAGCCTGTGTGTAGATATAGATGCTATCTGACATGTCTGGGTGCACACAGTACACTGAGGGCCAGTCAGGACTTGAGTGTGTTGAGGAGGGAAACTACTCCACTGATAAAACTGTCATGTCTGTCGAGCAGACGTCTGTCAGCTGAGTTGCTACTGTATTGAATTATTGTAAAATTAATGGGAGTGTTGTCAGTGTGATCGGTTGAAAATGATTTAAACGGGATTTGAAGCCTGGATATATCCTAGACTGTTCACTGCCTAGATTTCCTGATGTTATATCTCGAATTTGAAAAGTGTGGCAGTTGTCATGGCAAGAGAGTACTGCATCCATTGTGTATTGCATAAATATTTATTAAAACAAATTAGATACAGTTATGAAAAAGTCTTAGGATATATTTACTTAACTTTGGGTTAGTCAGTAAATATCTATGTTGAAAGTTAATTGTCCATCTGTGTCAAACTTTTAGTCACAAGTTCCATGCAATTTCTTTACATCTGAGTCGATTGTAACATTGTCTGTTGATCATGTCAATGAAAAAGTTTATGTGACCAGTGAGTCTGTATCCTTTGCCAGTCCAACCTCTATTGCAAGGATTGTAAGGCAGAATAGTATATCATCACCTTCGACTGTTTGAAGTGAGGAACTATTAATGTCAGTGTTTGTGGGTAGTATATGCATGTTTAACAAACAGCTCAGTGCCCTCTTATTACCTGTTTATTGTATTACAGTCTTCTGGATCAGTGCTCACACTATTAGTTGCTCATTTGTGTGCATGGGTCTTCTCCCCTTCAAATTCGCTATACTATATGTGCTATATTGATTACAGTGGAAGAAAAACTAGTTCTTGGAAGTATCCTCTTTTATTTGCTTTCTGTCACTTATGGAAATTCTGGGCTGGAGTAGATTCTCAACCCTGCTTGTGAAAGAAAATTTGCAGACTTGAGGATCAAATAGCTACACCTGGTTGATTATAAGTCTTCGTACACCATCGACCTGGATTGGTTTTCTACTGGATTACATTTACATGCCATGATATTATTGGTGGACGATTGTCACAGTGGCAGGAGACCAAGGAGTCCAAATTGAAACCAAAGGGTTCCATGTGAGTATGGGCCCTTTACCATCACAAGGGAACTAAATGGCTCAGGTGGACAGTGGCTTGGTTGAATACATGACTTGGTACCCTGCAGTATACAGCATTGCTCATGATATCAATCACTGGGTTGTTTGGTCCAGAATCGAATATTTACAGAATACCATCATATTCCTGAATGTGGGATGAGACATAGCAGGAGAATGACATGAGTAGTCATTGTAATAAACTAATTGTGTTGCAGACTCCAGCTTTGAGGAGATCCGCAAGGTGCTGCTGCTGGTGCTGGGATGTGCTGTCCAGTGTGAACACAAGCAGAGCTTCATCGAGAACATCAAGCAGCTCGAGATAGAAGTGCAGCATGCCATCGTGGAACACATCAAGGAGGTACGTACCGTTCAGGAGGCAGCAATCATTCAGCTCAATATTTCTTGGGCATCCAGTATATCACATAGTTGTTATCCTAAGGTTAGCCTCTTCAGCATACCTGCATTTGTTTGGATCGTGTGGAGGTTTTGAGGCATGAGGCAGAACCCTGGCTTAGTAATTGTCCTGACATTCTGTAAGTTGGTTAATTAGTGGACTCTTCCAGTGTAATAGCATCCTAATGGTTTGTGTTTCCTTGTCGAAGCTGATGTTAAATTCACAGTGGGGAAAAGTGTGTGAAGCCTTTCTCAAGTGGTATCATAGGTATATTGCTGAACTCTGTATAATCATATTCATTGTTCAGTGGTCAATGATGTAGTTGTGTTAACAGTCTTTGTCAGAAGACTACCATATTTCATTGTTTGGAGACCTACCATCATGTGATAGTAACCTCAACTGTCATAGAAGATTGTCTTCGGCAGCCCGGGGTGGCGGGGTAGCCTTGTGGTCATAGTAGTCGCTTGTCATGCTGAAGACCCCTACATGGTTACAATGAGTGCAGCCCTTTTCTACAGTGATATTGCTAGAATATTGCTTTCTGACGTCATATTGCTAGAATGTTGCTAAAAGTGGCGTAAAACTAAACACACTCACTCACTCAGTTTGTCAATCTAAGTTTGTAGTAAGTGGTAGAGACTTGTGGGATCGGGTGGTCAGGCTTGCCAACAGCATAGCTTGATGCTCATGATGTCAATCATTGGACTGTCTCGTCCAGACTCTACTATTTACAGACAGCGTGTGCAGCATTCAACAACTATCACACACACAAGTTGTATGGGGGCTCATTACTGTTTCGGGACCGCCTCCGTGGTGTAGTGGTTGAAGCGTCCGCCTGGAGAGCAGAAGGTCGCGGTTTCAATCCCCGACCGCGTCATACCAAAAGACGTTAAAATATGGTACTTGTTGGTCACTGCCTGGCGTTCGGCATTAATGGGTACAACAAGGACTGGTCGGCTCGCAGTCAGTATAATGTGTCTGAGTGGGGTATTCATGCTTCACTGCGGCATGGTATCTCAGTGGACTAGCACTATAAAACCAGCTTCAGTCTAGTCTAGTACAAGCAGCCGCACATACACACGCATGCACGTCGTCATATAAGCGAAATATTCTCAAGCACGACGTTAAACCCAATTTCACTTGACCTCACCTCATTACTGCTTCATAGCTGCCAGTAGATTAATGGCTTGTATTCCCCTTGTCCAGACACAACTGGAACTGAGATCATTTCCCACTGCAATCCAGGTGTCCGATGATGTGTGTCCATTGTAATCAGCTTGTGATAGGTGTCCCACAATAAGGAATGTTTGGTTTTGTTCAGGTTAGATAATACAGGTGTGTGGTATAATTGCTTGACCTGGTGAGACTTTGACTGACAGTGGGTCACGATAACACGTACATGTCTCGACAGAAGACGTTTAGTAAGGCCAGGCAGTCACTTGATACTTGAACTGGTATATTGAAACATGGTGATTGCTCAATTATAGGAAACACATACGGTACGACAAAGGCGACACAACTTTAGGGTGATCCTTAACTCGAGCAGAGCCACCTGCTGGCTTCTCACATTTGCACAAGATACCTCAGAAGTATAACATACTAAATATACCACTCGTCAAGAGGTTGTCATTATTATGTTCTGTATCTACCACTGAGCTACAACTTCAGTGTATTAAGTGCTAAAGATCTCTACCACTTAACTTGTACATATACTGAATATAATGTCCTAAAAGTACCACTTATCTAGGACATCTATAAATTAAGTGTTGTGAAGCTCTATCACACAGCTAGCACAACTGCCGAAAATATTGATGCTGTATGCAAAAGCTAACACTAAATTAGGATTAATTAGGACATGTATAGCTAGCACTTAATTAGGACATTTGAATTGAACATGTTACAGCTAATACTTATCTTGGACATCTCCTGAATATAAGATGCAAAAGCTACCCCTTAACTAGGATATCTCCTGAAAAAAGCAACCACTTAACTGGGATATTTCCTGAAAAAGCAACCACTTAACTGGGATATTTCCTGAATATAGTTTGACTAACACATACAAGCTGATCTCAAATATACATAGAACTTCAGTTTTCTCTTGCTGATGTTTTAAAGCACTTCATTTAATAACTTAAACATCACTGATGTTTGTTTGTTATGAAGTGGTCAGACCTCTGCCATTAAGTGTAGGGAGGTAATCAGAATAGCATTGACCCCCTGAATGTAGAGTCAGTGTCCAGCTGGGCAATGTGTGTGCTAAACAGCTATCAAAGACAATTGCTAGGTGTGTTTAAGGACAGATGTATGGAGTGAACTTTGATGTTGGGGAATTGTCTCATTACAGAGGCACATTTGTGTCTGTGTAGACATCTTCAGTTTATCCCCTCCCTGCTGGAGAGTGAGCCTGCTGTAGGGTAGCAGCTTGCGATTCTTTCATGTTGGGCCTGTGCTGAAAACATATGTCCTTCCTTTAATTAAACTGGATGTTGAATTATTGGCAACACTCTGTGATTGGAATAGAAGGGAAGAGTTGGCATCTTAAAGATCCTTCAGTTATATCTTTCATCTTGAGTATTTTAAATATCTCAGGAGCATGGATAGATTTGTTTGTTGTTTATCGCTGCCCTCAGCAGTATTAATACTTGAGTCTGGACCAGATAGTCCAGTGGTCAACATCATGAGCATCGATCTCAGCAGTATTAATACTTGAGTCTGGACCAGATAGTCCAGTGGTCAACATCATGAGCATCGATCTCAGCAGTATTAATACTTGAGTCTGGACCAGATAGTCCAGTGGTCAACATCATGAGCATCGATCTCAGCAGTATTAATACTTGAGTCTGGACCAGATAGTCCAGTGGTCAACATCATGAGCATCGATCTATGCAGCTGGAATATAATGATGTGTCAACGAAGTCAGCATTTCTGACCACCCAATCTTGTTAGTTGCCTGTTATGAAAGCAGGGGTTGCAGAAGATCAATTCTAACCTGGATCTCAGTTGTCATAACAGCAAACACCCATGAGTTTCAGTTTACTTTTGTGTCTGGTATAGAAGATGATTGCCGTCAGCTACTGGTTTGCCTGGTCCAATGTTCCCTAGTGTTATGACTAGTAATTATGATATAGCCATGTCATTGACTGTTATGATAAGACCAGAGGTGAGGTGAGGTGAAATTTGGTTTAACGTCGTGCTTGAGAATATTTCGCTCATATGACGATGTGCATGCGTGTGTATGTGTATGTGCGGCTGCTTGTACTAGCCTAAACTGAAGCTGGTTTTATAGTGCTAGCCCACTGAGATACCATGCCACAGTGAAGCATGAATACCCCACTCAGACACATTATACTGACTCCGAGCCGACCAGTCCTTGTTGTTCCCATTAATGCCGAGCGCCAGACAGGGACAAACAAGTATCATATTTTAACGTCTTTTGGTATGACGCGGTCGGGGATCGAACCCGCGACCTTCTGCTCTCCGGGCGGACGCTCTAACCACTACACCACAGAGGCGGTCAAGACCAGATGTGACATGTTTGTTGTGTTGTGTTGCATCCCAGGTCACACCATTAACCAGTTCTCCCAGATTATGTTTATAGTTTTGTCATCATCATACCTGTGCTCATGGATTTCACCAAAGCAGTAAGGTAGTATTAAGGGTTTTCTTCCACATTAAGCTGAGATGCAGTGAAATATCTGATATGCTATTCAAAGCTAAACCAAAATACCTGTGTTGATTAACATTTGGAGTGTTACAAATGAAGGAATTGTATGGTTACATAAAAGATTATTAACAAAATATAAGATCTGCATCGCTTTGGGCTTTACTCCCACATCAAGCGGACATGCCGTAAAATGGGCCGTAAAATGGACGGTGGGGTAGTTTAGTGGTTAAAGCGTTCGCTAGTCACGCCGAAGACCCTGGTTCGATTCCCCACATGGGTATAATGTGTGAAGCCCATTTCTGGTGTCCCCCATAGTGATATTGCTGGAATATTACTAAAAGCAACATAAAAGCATACCCACTAACTCACTCACATGCCATAAAAGAATGGAATACTGTTCAATTTAGTGACATTAAACCCAACTCACACAGTATCAGTTAATCTCACACCATCAGCTTAACACTTTACTAGCTTCCTGAAACAGCTTCAGTAATTCTCAACACATTGCTGTGTGTTCAACTGGGAACAGAATACCTGCACAGTAATTGTCATCCATCACACGTCTACCATGTGTACAGTACAAGGAGAAAGTAACACATCCTTAACAAGTCCCTTGGTAAATTCTCATGTATAACACACGTACTCTGGGGATGTTGTAAATACAGGACGGGATCCATCTAGCAGTGCCAGTATAATTGATTCTTTATGCAAAGCCTTCAAAGAGAGGCGGCAAGGGGTAAGTGGCTTGTAAATACTACAGCAGCATGTCAGATGGCAGATTCTTCATTAGTCTGTCTCACAGTCCCTGAACCACATTATGTTCCCCACTACCAAGCCCTCTCTGCAGTGCTAAAGCCCTAAATAAAGCAAGTCTAGATTTCCTCAGGTTCAGGAATCTCTGGTCTCCCTAGGGCTCCTTTTCAATTTAAATGGGCTTGTTTGTTACTATCAAAATTAAATATATTCAGAGACTAAGCATTAGTCTAATTCTTCATCAGCTCCCTCGTGGGTGACGCATGTATGAGCTTTTCAGACACGTGTGTGTGACCACCTTCAACCACCATACCATGCTTGTGTAATGAAGCGTTCTGTTTATCATAAACTTGAAGTTGACATGGCTCTCTAGTTTATCAATAAGTGTCTTCATCTCGAAGGCCTCAGCCAAGATCCATGAGCTTGTGATACTGTCTGGAGTAGAGCTGCCAGTAGGGACTGGAGAAACGTGCTGTCTCTTAGATTAGGCATGGGGACTGATAGTCCCTGAAAATATGTAGTTTTGAAATAAATAGCTTCACTTAAATTGGTAAGGAGCCCCACTGAGACCTGAGGTACAGGCGTGGGAAATCTAGACTTTCTTCATTTAGGGCTGTGAATGGAAAGACAAGAGGACTACTGGTAGATGGAGTATCATTTCAATTCATTTGTTATTCTTGTCTTCTATCAGCACCTTTTGAAGTTGTTTTTTATTCGGACAAAATGGTTTACAGGGATGAGTATTTTCCGCGGAATTCCGGGAATTTCATAAGGCCTAGGGTCATTTTTGTGAATCGTCTAAATCTGTTGACAATTGTATGAATGTGCTTCAGCAGATATAAAGTTTTTTAATGGTTGCTGTGTTCATGATATTGTCATTTCTGAGCCAGGTTTAAAGGTCTAAAAATCAGGAGCTTTGGCTAGTTTTCAGAGTTTTTCTCAAAACTTCATTTTCATCCCTGGGTTTATTCACTTATTATTAAGCGTCCGTTTGATAAGGAATTTTATGTATGTTAGTGTAATTAAGTTTTAGATTCCTTCATCTGTATCTCAATTCATCCATAATGGTTAGACCAATGATTAGAGCTGTACAGTTTGCTATTTGTAATGAGATATGGAAATACAAGCTTGAAAAGTCTCATTCTCTATGGAATAGTCAGGTGGTAGTACGGTGGTAGTACCCTGGTACATGTAGCCCATCACACTGAGCGTCTCTGACATCTGGAAGCTGCTGCTGTATGAGCAGCTAATCTGTATCACCTCACTTCCCCTCACTGGGAGTCACTCAGTCAGAACATTGCCCTCCTCGGCTTCTGACCCATGTCAGCACAACAGTGTTGGACCTCCACTGTATCACTGACAGATAGTCAGCTGATGGCCACCGTATCTGTCAGCTGGGCTCAACACTCTCAAGTAATCGTGGAAATATTCAAGTCCATGTAATGTAAACCAGATTTAGGATGTCAGTGTGTGGAAATCTGATGATGGATATTTATGTGAAATAGATTTTTTCTGTCCTAATGGTATTGACCTGAGTGTGTTGGTGCTCAATGGCTTTCCATTCTACTGCAGGCGGTGGGGTAGCCCTGTGGTTAAACTGTTCACTCTTCAAGCTGAAGACCCGGGTTCGATTCCCCATATGAGTACAATGTTTAAAGCCCCTTTCTAGTGTCCCCAGTCGTGATATTGCTGGAATATTGCTAGTGGCGGTGTAAAATCATACTCACTCACTCACTCCATTCTACTGCAGATAAAGATGATATTCAGATTTGTTCATACAAAGCTGTGACAGTCTGAAGGGTACAAATGATGCTTGAAATGATATGAGAAAAGGTTGGGTTTAATTTTTTGGGGTAAAATATGAAATAGATTCGGGCATGTCAGATATTTACAATCAGTGATTGTTTTCAGACTTTAAACATTACATTGTTGAAAGATTCCAGAAAGATAATTTCAGTGCCGGTGGATTAGAAAGGTATTTTGCTTCACAGGTTTGGTCAGTAAGTTAGAAGTTGTGTTTGATACACAGGCCTGAGGTGTTTGTTGGAAGGTGTATCTGGTCAGTGGTAGAGGGGCAGACGCCACGGATGTTTGCTTTGAGACTGATGGACAACAAACACAGACTGGGGTGGTAACAGTCTCACTTTCTGTTCAAACAAAACAACTAAATACATACACCTTAGTGATATCCTGGCAACTCACTCAGTCAATATAATTTATCTTACCTCACACAGAAATGTCGTTTTCTGATTGGCTGAGCGCTCTTCTATTATTTTCAATGTACCATCTTACAAGCGAGTAACATTTCAGTGTACCCCGCTGTCAATGGCAACTCATTTGGCACTTCGTGGTAGTAATTCTTTATCTCGAATAACATTGAATCATGTATGATGTACGGAAATTACCGATGTTTTGCGAATGCAAATCGATGGAAGGAAGATAACTCTAAATCTGTTTTACTTGTCAGCAAAATCTAGCAATGGCTACAAAAAATTTGTACCCGTGCTTCAAGCAATTCAAAATTAACATTAAGGTGTTCAGTAAGATAAATACTTTGTTCACTGGTCCCTCGGGGTCCATGGGTTGATGTACCCTCGATGTTTGGGCTCAGGGAACATAAACAAACATCGAGGGTACATCAACCCATGCCCCCTCGTGACCAGTGAACAACTTAAAATGTATATGTTATGAATATTTTCATCTTTGCTCACATGACCCTTGACAGTCAAGATAGCTGTTGTAGGTTCAGAATGATCAAATATAAATCTTTCATTTAACTTACCTCTATTTCATAGCCATAATTTCCATTTTGGCTCAATTCACATTATAAAAATTATGGATTTCTGGCAGAGGTCCTGTTTACTGACAGTGATCTAATGAAGCAATCAGAAGGGAGGTAGTATCAAAACTAACTGAATATTTGTGAACCAAATGACCAGAAGTGTGAATATGAGCAGGGTGGAAAATTAGGACAGAGGGACATTTACTCCGAAATGGACAATTATTTGTTGATGTGTTTCAACTCTGTAGTATTATCGTAGAAGAATTATTGAAGAACGATTGTGGGAATTGGGCTGTTTTCCCTGATGATGCATAGGGTTTGGAAAGTCAAAAGAAATCATGAATCATTTAGGTTATGATGTTGCCAGTTCATTGTGGTCGCCAACCATTCTTCTTTGTTACATACTTTCTTAGACTGTCTCCATTAGGTACGGCTATGGCAGGACAAGATATTTATAATTTTGACAATTACTGGCAAACAAGGATAAATTGAGCACCGACCTGACAATTGACCCATATTAGTATGTATGAGTGCTGCCCACTATTGTTGGCAAAGGGGCCCCAGGTTGTCCACAATCAAGAGTAGTGCGACTTGCTCCACCAATGTGAGAGTCTTATGAGCAAGGTGTGTGCATCTACGTGCGAAATCAATTTCATCGTCATGCAATGCACGTGCACGAGCCTACATCTGCTCTACCTTTCACAAACCAAACGGTTTTGCTCATTTCTGTGCACTGCCTACTTTTCGTAAACGCGTTCTCTGCGCTGGTCCAACTTATCCTTGTTTGCTAGTAGTTTCAATATCACAGTCAGTCTTTCACTGTTGATCATTTGATCAGAAATTGGCGAGCTCATGGTTAATTGTAGGATGACCTTGTTAATTATTCTGACATGTTAAGTGATTTGACCTGTCCTGTGTGATCGTGAATCTTGTGATAGGCTGAGGATGGGATGTTCTAAGATAAAATGAAATATACTCACAGAAACGAATAAGGGAACACATGAAAGTAAAAGTGTTCCTTTATATATTTCCAGAATTTCACTCACAGTGCAATACATACCTTGCGAAGAAACCTGGAAAAGAATAAAGGAACACTTGTACTTTCATGTGTTCCCTTATTTGTTTCCATGAGTATATGCATGATGAAATGACATTCATTTTTGGCGTTACGTGTTCCAGATCACAGATGACAGTGAGGCTGTCCTCCCCATCGAGCCCCCAGCAGAGCTGGAAGCGTACACGGAGAAGATGTTTACGCACCTCACCAGGCTGATCAAGGAGAGGGACGATGTCTCAGAGGTACTTCTATTGCCGTTCACTTGGAACGTTTATAATGTTTGAGCACAAGGTGAACATGTCTCAGTCGTGCAAGAGTTGTCTCCCTTTAGTGTATTGACAGTGTTGGTTAAAATCTGGTGTATTAGGCACATGCTCCTTGCTGCAAAATGACAATGGGCCTGTTGAGTCAGGATGGTGACTTGGTTATGTCATTATGTGTCAGAAATATGGGCTTAATATCAACCTCTGGATTGTCTAGTCTAGGCTTAGTTGTTTACAAGGGCCATGGTAGAGCTAAAATAATGGTGACTGCCGCATTGAGCAAAACTTCACTTGCTCACTCACTCACTCACTCACTCACTCCACTCACTTAAACTCACTCACTCATGCTCACTCGCACTCAATCAAACCCACACACTCAATCAAACCCACACACTCACTCACTCACTCTCTAACTCGTGAGATAATGGAAAGAATTGGTACAATCATTTCACTGAATTGTAGACTTTGTTTCCCATTGCTGTTTGTTTCTGGTGGTGTCAAGAAGAGGCCGACCCAATAATTACATGAAGGAAAACATCAATATGGAGCCATCAGAACTAATTGGTATTGATCGGAATGTCTCAGTAATCTTCCATAAAAGATGTGAAGATAATCAATAGTGCATCTGTGTTGATGAAGCTCAGCAAATGATATGCAAACAAAGCAAGATTGAAGCAGAACGGCGACATTAAACAATCAATATTTGTTTCCTGGAGTGTGAAGACCCACAGCCACGCCCTCATCCAAGGACTTTGTAGGTGCAGATCGATGATGAAGCTTATGTGTGTGCTCTCACAAAATGAAGATGTTATCTACCTACAAAGCCAAGCACGGTCTTGCTCCCAATACTTGTCTAACATGTTGTCACCATACTCCAATTCACGCAATCTTCGTTCCAACAGCCAGGATCTTCTCACTGTGCCTTCCTTCAGACTGAAAACTTTCGGACAGCGTTCTTTCACCTATGCAGCCCCTACTCTCTGGAACTCTCTTCCTTATGACCTCAAAACTATTGACAATTTCGACTTGTTCAAGTCCAAACTTAAAACCTACTTCTTCCAGCAGTATCTACCTTAATGTGCTCTTGTATTACTTCTGTACATATGTTCATACTTGACTCTGTAGCGCCTTGAGCATGTCTGTCGAGGTGGATTGGGCGCACATATAAATATGCATTATTATTATTATTATTATTATTACTGTATTTGAGATCAAGTAACAAATTTGATAAACGACCCGGTCAAGTAGGCAATGGAAGGGACAAAATCAGTTTCATGCTCTGAATCTGAGTAATATGCACAAATATGAACAGTCAAAGACTGATTAAGGAAAGATAATGTATTGATTAGAATCAGGATGTGGGAATCACATATTTTATCAGTGTTGATGAGTCAGTGATGCTGCTGTAAAATCTCAGTCTGATGAACCCATCAGGTGTCAGTCTGTCAGTACCTTGTTATGAGTTGAAGCAGTTGTAAAATATCATCAGCTGTGAGTCTGTGAGTGTGTCACCCTGTTCAATTGTAAATGATAAATCCATGTTCCGAATGTACGTGTTTCAGTTTTTCATATGTCATGATTTACTGCTCTTACAAACTTCCTCATTTGTTAAAAATGGAAAAAATTGAATTGGACTATTCTCCTCATGAAAGGTCAGACTTCATTGGGGTGGTGGGGTATCCTAGTGGTTAAAGTATTTTCTCGACAGGCCAAAGGCCCGGTTCAATTCCCAACATGTAGTACATGCTCCCAACATAGTACAATGTATGTAAAAAGCGTGCACTCCGCACACACTCATTCCTGGTTTTTGGCTGGTTGGTGATATTGCTGGAAATATGGCTAAAAGCTGCATAACACCCAATTCACTCACACACACACACACTCAAACAGGTTGGGTTTTTTTTTTTTTTTTTTTCTTTTTTTTTTTTTTTATCATTGCCCCTAAACTGGGTCTGCCTGGTTGTGGTTGTGTTATATCTGGAATACTGCAACATACAACAGCATAGACCACTCAGTTAGATGTTCGGAGTTAGTCACTGGGAACAGGTCGTTGAGCAGGTCCAGTTGATGGTGGGTGACACAGGGTTCCAGGGGCATGATATATATGAAGGAGGAAGCATGGATGGCAGTTGGTGATTCAGTCTGACGTAATGTCTGCAACTGCACACTTGTCAACTACTGTCTGGTGTTGACGTTGCTGCCATCACCCTTTGATGGACGGTGCACTTTCAGAACTCGGGACTGAGTCACTCAGTACAACAGAACTTGCATTGTCATACATGCCTGTATAAGGTTGAAGCCCTGGTGAGGTGGCTAACATTCATGTTATGAAAATAATTACTGCTTTGCCTTTCATCCTTTTAGTTGGTGTATAGATATTGTTTTAAAAATTGAATGATCAGTTTTATGTTTATTTGTTCTTGTTTTGGTATCTTTTAACACCTGTGAAGATCTGGGTTAGGACTGGTCTGTTTTTAGCCATAAGCAGCAACTGATGGGATTGGGAGGTCAAGCTCCCTGACTAGGTTGACGCAAGTCATTGTGTAGATCGATGCTCATGATGTCAGTCACTAGATCGTCTGGTCCAGACTTAAATATTTACAGGCCACTGTCATTACTGAGTGCAGCATTAAACACCAAACAAACTGTACAAGGGATTTTTTTATACAATGGATATTAAAATGTGATTGCTTATGCGTATTCTTATTTGAATGATAGTCAATTAGTATATCGGACACTATAGTCCTAACTTTAGTGAGTGAGTTGGCTGGACAATAATTTCTGTTCATTACTGAAATTAAGTACTGCACTCAACAAAAGTAGATTTGGTTTTATTCTTCCCATGTGATGTTCAAGTTATTAAGAAAAACAGCATTTTTTGGCAAATGTTTAAGAAGTAATTAATACATGAATCCACAATGTACAACCATTACTACCTGTCTTCAAGTAACCTATGTGTATTCAAGTACCTTCTTTATTAAGGTACCCCTGGGTATTCAGGTACTCTGTTTTCAAGTATCCTGTATGTATTCAAGTACCTTGTATATTCAGGTAAACCTATACATTCAAGTACTCCATTTGTGTTCAGATATCCTCTCTATTGATGTACCCCCTGTGTATTCAAGTATTCCCTCTGTATTCAAGTATCCTTTGTGTATTTAAGTACCCCCTATGTGTTGCAGCTGATGACGGACCTGTCCCAGGAGCGAGACTTCTACCAGTCCCAGGCTGAGGGTGCTGCAGCTCCTGTAGTCCCCACAGTCACCCCCGAGAAACATCATCTAGCAGTGGAACTCGCTGAGTCCAAGGCCAAGCACGTCGCACTAGACAGGAACTGTAAGTCTCGTTATAATTTTTGTATGCTTCAAATGGGGACTTCGGGAATTGAGTTTCAAACATCAGGACTGAAACGTGTGTTATATTTGGGATTTACAAAGTGTGAGGCAGCTGACTTTACGTGTTTGCGATTAAGTGCCTGACTCTGAGGGTGTGGGTTCAAATCCCGGATGGGACTCAACTCAACTCAAAAAGTACTAGAATTTGTACTTAACTAAGAAAGTGTAATCCCAAATATAACATGTGTTACATTTGACCACTTTCTAATTGGCATTGTGTAATCATCAGGACTGAAGTTTTAATTTTGTATTTCTGGGTGCGTGCCATTTGCATGGAAGAAAAATAAGACCTGCCCGTACAACAAACTAAAATATGCAGTACAAATACAGTAGACTTGCTCTGCAAATTTGATTCAAGACATTCCAGATGTAATGTTCGCTAAATTCTGTTTGTGTGGTGGATGTCTGTCAGTTAATGATATACCTATTAACGCAGTCATATTGTCCCATTTACATGGAGGATACAACATGAAAGGAGAATGGGCACCAGTTGAGCATAGTTCTTTTAGTAGAGAAAATTCAGTATGCCCTTGACCTGTTGGGATTCCAGGTAAAAAAGCAGGTCCCCATTAACCTATTTTTGTTGTAAGAGGTCACTCTCTTGGACCTTGTTCCTTGTGGTCGGCCAAAGGCCAGCAAGATGTGGTGATGTCACATCATTAGTCTGTCTCACAGTCCTAGACATGCTCCAAGGCTGTCCTGAATGCTGAGCCCATGGATGTATTGTAATTCAAGCCTTCAAAGAGGCAAGTCTAGATATGCAGACAGTACAAGGACATCAGTCTTGTTATTTATTATGTTTAAGAAATTATCATTTAAATTATTAATTTTTACCTTAAAGACTTGTCCCAGTCCCTGAACCACATTATTTTTCCTTCTGCCTAGCCCTCCCTGCAATGCTAAAGCCCTAAATGAAGCAAGTCTAGATTTCCTCAGGTTCTGAATCTACCATCTCACTGGGGCTCCTTTTCAATTCAAATGAGATTATTTGTTACTATCAAAATGATATATATTCAGTGACTTAGCCTTAGTCTATCACATCATATACAATCTCTTAACCCATTCAACACCGGAAAACCGGCCAAGACGTCACAGTCCCCAGACACCGTAGGCGGTAAACCAGCCAGGCAGTAGTCGCATCAAAATGATCTATAATTTTAGGAATATAACTAACATATGATTCTTTTATCAAATCTATCACTTTTCACAATGTCTGAAAAAGCTTATTAAATTTCAAATGTCCATATATTATCGACAGGATTAGAATTATAAACTATTTTCGCAATGTTATTGAAAAAAAAACAATTCTCGGACACATGTTTCGGCAAGGGTCCACAGCAAAGTTGTCAAAGAGCAAAGTAACGATGTTTCGAGAAAATAGTTAAATAAACTGAAGAATAAAATCCACAACAGTACTCATAAAAGTTGTCAAATGTACATTATAACTTACTATTTCCATCTTTTTTGAGCGATCGTGTATTGTAATGCAAGTGACATCTCGGCTTTCGTCGCCTTGAACTTCACACTCGGACATGATGTTTAATGCTAAAATATATGCATGAAGCATATTTGTCAGAGGTCATAACCTAGCACAAAACGTCCACTAAGTTCCATAATATATATATATATAGGTGGTGATTTATTGCGTAACACGTTCAGAATTTACCCAAAACTTTCGTCTGAATCATTAGTTTTCGTTTACGAGAACGGTATCCATTGCTGTAATATGATTGGCTGCCTTAGGTCATGTGTACGATTTTAACCAATCACAATGCTTATATCAGACTGTGGCGAAAAAGCATCATTAGAAACGAATTTTTATCCAATACAATCGCTTCTTACAACTGTGAAAATACTCTTGGCAAGGGTACAGTGATATTGTTGATGTTCAGAGCTTTCGAACGATACCCACCAGCAAACGAATCGTCTCACATGTTATTCATACGAAGCTTCGAAAACCAAGGTATTTCCCGCTGTTGTATCATATTACTGAGCGGAAAGTCACTGATATCGGGAAATAGATGACCATTCATATTATTTGAGAAATCTTTTTAAAAATAATTTTCCGATTACGTAAAAATGAAAATATAGAAGAAAAAGGTAAGGGGATATTATGACATGTAACAAATGGAAAAAATTGCTGCATTTTTTGCTCCCTTCGTGGTTTATCTGGACATTATAAATTTTTAAGCTTGCATTTTCATTAAAAATTAAATTATTTACATTGTAGTTGGATTATTTGAATAATATGATCAAAAATAAATTCATATTTATAAACAGTAGGATTAGACCTTTCAAATGATGTATGATATGTAGTAGCAATAATGTTTTACAAGCTGATATTTTCCTTGATAAACATAGGCTCCATCTATGACCTCAGAGTCTCTGGGAACTCGGTGTCATGGCAGTAAAAGGCTTTTGTTGACTGGTGTTGAAAGAGTTAAGCAAACTACAATACATGTTTCTTGTTTCAGTTTTAGATAAACATCTTATGAAATTGAAAAACTAACCTAATATATGAAAAATATTTCCATTTGCAATTTAATTGCCTCTTTGTAATGTTTATATGGTGCCACATACAGACATCAAAGCCCTGTAGTTTTAAAGCTTTTCTCTAATTATCCAAAGCAATTTTAAATCACTTTGCAAGTCTTTCATAACTCAGACTGCTCTCATTTCAAGATAAGTGTGTTTGTTAACAAACAAGAAGAAAGTCAGTCATGTGCAAATTAAAAATGGTGTGATGGTTAGTGATCGCTGGGCTGAGTGTGGATTAGATTGTCAAACTAACTTGGCTGACGCATGTCATCATACCCATTTGTGTGCAGACCTGTGAAGATCCACGTTAGAATTGATCTTCAGTAACCCATGCTTGTCTTTAGAGTCGACTAACGGGATCGGTGGTCAGGCTCACTGACTTGTTTGACACGTCATCAGTTCCCAATTGCACAGATCGATGCTCATGGTGTTGATCACTGGATTGTCTGGTCCAGACTCGATTATTTACAGACAGTCTCCATATAGCTCGAATGCTCCCGAGTGTGGCATAAAATCTTAACTGACTCACTCACTCAATTGTGTGGATCAATGCTCATTCAGTCCATCACTGAATTGCCTGGTCCAGGGTCCCCATCCACAAAGCGTTCATAACGTTATGACCTGTCGTAACTCTATACTTTACGAATGTCGTAGCACAACAAACGTGGATCGGGACCCTGGCATTTACTACCACCATATGTTGAAGTGTCTCATTACACAACAAACATACAGTATACCCTTGTACCTACTGAGTGGACCTGTTGAACCTGCCACGTTACCTGACATTATGAACTGCCTGTCTTTTGTTGTTACCATGTCCATCAGCTGTCTTCTCAGATGACCGACCTTGTTGCCCTGTCAGACACCATGTTGCTATGATTGTCCGTCATGTTCGGCCCATTTGTCTGGGATGACAGTCTATAGTGACTTTGTCTTTGTACTTAACCTGGAGGGAAATAGTGTCATGGTAGTGTTCGTTTAGCCCACGTTTCTGTCATCATTGTTGAAGTCAAGGATTAAGATTGTCTGCTGATTGCTTAATTAGTTTACAATTAATTGTGTCGCACTGATTTAGGACATTTTCTTACAGGAGAGTCTTCTGATCATTTCTTAATTTGAAAACATCTGCTGGATGTTTTAGACATAGACAATTTCTGGATATGAACCAGCCAATCCTTCATAATGTTTGTGTGGATCCCACAGGGAAGTAGTTCCACAAATACATGCTTGGTATAACGGTGGTATTGGGTTGCCAATAACTCTGCTCAACATGTACCATAAGTATGGTCACATCAGTAGACGTAGACTGACATGCAGTCCCAGAAAGACACAGCCTCCGTATAAATATTGCTGACTGTGCTATATTTACAATTCATAAAATTCAGTTTCATGGTTCAGTTTTATTACCCTCACAAAGGGGGGAATCATTTGTACTGCTGATTTTGAGCTATTATCCCTCTGTTTTCAAATAGCCACATTGGCATATGCCACTATTTTAGTATCATGAAACAAATATGGCTGACATGGCGTAAGACAATTGAATCAGTGATGATGATGATGATGATGATGATGATGATGATGATGATGACAACGATGATGATGATGATAGTGACGATGACAATGATGATATTTTGTATGGTATTTTCTTCGGTATGTGTTGAGCTTCAGGACTCACCTGCACATACTATTTCTCTAGTGTGAGTGTCATCATTCATCTCAACTGAAGCAAATCAGTAACAACGCCTTTAAAATCACAAAGCGTGGCCCAAAGTGAAGGCTTACCTTCCAACACTTGATTACAGTTATAAAGCCACATTAAGAATGACAGGAATGCAGAGATCCTGAACTGCTGTACAGGCTCCTTCTAGAGTCAGGCCTGTACTGAAATATCACTGTGTGTCTGACGCAAACTATAGCAACATGGATGTGAACGGGCTTCACAAGAGATGCCCAGCTCTGTGCTAGTTCCACAATGTCTGGTATATACTAATAGATGTCTCTCGATATCTATTGGAACAGTGATCAGCTATTTTTTACTTCTTTATGTCAGGAAGTAAAATATCCCTGATCAGCTATATTAAAATATCCGTCAGGTTTTAACAGAGATACTGTGATGTTTACTTCTGTGTATGTTGGAAAGCCTATTAATAGACAGTTTGGTGTATCATTGAATAGTAGTTCTTGAGTAGTATCCTTGAATTTCTGGATTGGGAAAAACATTAAAATAATTTGCTCCTGTTTGGGGAAATGGTATTTGAAAAAAGTTCTGTTGTTGAAATAAGAATATACCCTGTTTTAAGGGGAACCAGAAATTATACCCCAGTCCAACTTTACTAACAATCCCCTTTTGCCTGTTGCTCAAAGTGATCTTAACACTATGACTGTTGTCGGAAGTATGATTGTGTTAGTACTGAGGTCATTTTGTGTAATGGCTGGTCAGTTATTATTGGTTTGGTATGTCCGGGACAGTGGGGTAGCCTAATGGTTAAACTGTTCACTTGTCATGCCGAAAACCCGGGTTTGATTCCTCACATGGGTAAAATGATGTCCCCTTCCGTTGTATTGCTGGCATATTGCTGAAAGTGGCGTAAAACCATACTCACTCACTTACTCACTCACTCACTCACTCACTCACTCACTCACTCACTCACTCACTCACTCACTCACTCACTCACTCACTCACTCACTCTCTCACTCACTCACTCTGTCCAGCAACATGGTTGTTTGTGATGAGCAAAAATGATTTAAAACCAGATGCCCCTGTCATTCCTCTATCTCTATGAGACTGCGTAGTTGAAACGCTGAGATAGAGGAAGTATGCTTGGCATGCTTGACCAAGTGTCCAGTCTGGAGCGAGCACACTCCCCTACACCCACTACAAACATAGAGCAAGCCCCTCTCTGACATACTAATAGAGCTTACCCTCCAGCGACCCCCTTCCTGAACCCCCTTATACAAAGTAAACACAGGCGTGAGCCCCTATAATTGATTCAACATCCTTGACCATGGGCCATGGGTTATCAGGTGAAGACAGGCAGATGTCTTCATTTGTTGGTATAGCTAGCAACATGGCTGGCAGTTAAAGTTTACTGGGATTTGAGCAAAGGGTTTTTATCAAGTCTGTGCATTTAGCCATGACTAACAGACAACATCTAGTTGCAGAAATAAACATATTTTATAATTAAACAACCATCTTGATAAAATATGATGAAAATGAGCCAAGAGACTTTCTTCATTTTAAGCCTTAAACTGCAATAATCTAGACTTGTAGACTTGCATGGGCTGTATTTGACATATTTGTATCAAGGTCTGTATGGCAGTTTAGCCACTGTAGGCTGAATATCTAGTATAATTCTGTATGGAATAGTAAGCTTAACTAATATAATCCACATAACATTAAGTTGGATGAAACTGATGCTAAGAGTCATGCCAAGGTTAGCTGAAGTTTTGGGCACAGACTATCGGGATACATTGAAACACTCAACTACAGTGAATGTAGAAAGATAGTTGCAGAGAATTTCCTGGTGTAATAACAATAATATGTTGGTCAGGTTCATGATGTGAAGGTTTGACTGTGGGATTAGGAACAAAATCCTCTCAAAATCGCATTGTTTTCATGTATGTTGAGGAAAGAAAATTTCGTATTGCACAAACACAAGCTACTGACACAGAGAAGCTAACAGAACATAAGTAATATGAAAGAAATGAGTCCTGTTTTTATAGAAACATTTGAGATATGGTTGGAAATTACAGATGCTGAGCTTGTGCTAGTGTGCAGTATTTGTTTACGTGTTATTTGAACTTAAGAATGAAAGTATGGGTTATTTTCACATTCAGTACATACAGATAAAAATAGGAGAGAGAGCAGCGAAATATTCAGGCTCTTCAGAACCTCCTTGATTTCTTGTTATGCATTGTGTAAATATTTCTACAGCAATTGAATATTCTTAATTCTGTTTTGCTAGGTTGTTTATGGTATTGTTAGAACTGTTTATCCTGGGACTGCCCCGAGCATCTGTCTGAGACTGATACTGATGCTCCTGTTGTGGACACATACAAATGATAGTGTAGAGTGAGGTCCCAGACTCCACAGGGCCGTTTGTTTCAGGGGAGGTGTCACCCCTCTCAGCTGACCATCATGAATGGCCTCAATTAGCTGCCTCCCAGGTGGTCAAGTACCACAGGTCTTTGTCCATCTGGTCAGCCTGATTCAGACTATTCTGCTAGATCACAGTGCAGCAGGGAGAGGGTTAAGGTGGACATCTGTGCTCTAACTGACGAGGGAGATTCAAACACAGTCTGTAGCTATGGCAGCAAATTCTGGGGAAGGGAGGACAGAAACAGCTTTGGATTTGTTGGAAAACTAACTTGGTACCAAGATAGAAATTAAGTTGTCATTGTTGATATGATATGATGAAGTCTCATTCATGGATGGTTGTTATGTATGCGGGTTGGATGCAGTTATATGATGTAGTTTACTGGATCATGAGAGTGTTTTACAGGTAAATGAACTTTGTTTTTTGTTGCTTTTGCTGCTGCCAGTATCTTGGATCTGTTGATATCAGTGACACTCCTTGTAGATATACATATGAAGATGACCCTAACATGCGTTAATAGATATAATATATATAGCGCTTTGTTATCCTAAGTTATCTGTTCATCATTCACTTCACAGCTGCCAAAACAAATAACATAATATTAGGCCAGACCAATTTTATTTCTTGTTTAATGGATCCACCGGTTGTATTTTTTCAAGAATGAGAAAAAATATTAAAATTAATTTTCCCAGCTCAAAAAATAAAATTTTGATATTTTTATTGGCCAAAAATGTAAATGTGCAAGAAAATGTTTTAGATTGTTTTTTGCCCCATATACACTTCATAAATTCCCGAAAGTAAAATACTTTTTGTATTTCTAAGGAATATTACTTTGACTGGTGATATTTATTTATTTTTTGGTTTTTTTTTATTTCTTCCTCCTGCTTTTACGCATTCTGAGGTCAAAAATCCATAAAACAAGAAATATAATTGGTCTGGCCTTATTTGATAAAAAAATAATATTACATGGAAATATGGTTACTGATGCTGGCATTGTGTGTATTTGCTGATTGAAATTTGACTTGGAAGAGTAGATTTTCTCCGTGTTGCTATGACTGTGTTTTCCTATGTGGATTCTGGTGTCCCCAGCCGTGATATAGCTGGAATATTGCTAAAAGCGGCGTAAAACTAAACTCAGTCAGTCAGTCCTATTTGGAACGTCAGTGATTCATGACTACAGAAATGGTGTTTAGAAACAGAAAGTGGAGAGTGGTCTTGTCTGAAATAATAAGTTTCACTGTGTACTATGTTTCCAAGAAGCAGGTCCAGGATCAACTGATCCTAGTTTTGTCACATCAAACTTTGCTTGATGGACTGGTCTGGTAGGCATCTACAACCTTCATCCCATATTAACCTAATGTAATATAAGTAAACTGAGGAACTGTTCAAAGCAGTGTCCGATGTCTGTCCATGTGTCATTACCTTCTGTTTTTCAAGGTAACCAGGGGTCTTGGGTAGCCTAGTGGTTAAAGCGTTCGCTCGTCATGCCGAAAACCCATGTTCGATTCACCACATGGGTACAATGTGTGAAGCCCATTTCTGGTGTCCACCGCCGTGATATTGCCAGAATATTGCTAAAAGCAGTGTAATACCAAAATCACTCACTCACTCAAGGTGACCACATTGGGTGCGATATTGAACATGGATTCTGACAGATAGATCAGGAAATCAGGTTCCGGCTTGGTTGGAGGCATCTCATTGTTCCCAGACAGCATGGATCATTGCTGACAATATCCATCACTTGATTGTCTTGTCCACATATAGGCCACTGTGATATATAGAGAATACTACACTTGGTCTCATTACATACGAATTATATGAAACGATATCGTATCTGAAACGAAAAAAGCGAAGGTCGAGTTTGTATAAGTCGTGATAATTCGTATGTAATGAGACCGAAAGTGTGGTATTTTATTTATTACCCATGTCTTACATGCATTAAATTGACAAAATTGCGTATTTTTGTTATGTTTTTGGTTTCAAACCGAAACCGGTTCCATAAAGAGGTTGCAGAAGAGTTTTGTACTGTAGTACAATATTTGCATGACGTCACACTGTAATGATGTCACTGCCTTGGTAACCGACGTCACGATGCATGTCAGTTGTCATCGCCTCGTACAGCCTCCTACAGTAAACTACTCCGTAGCACCTCGTTTCTTGGTTTCCAGTTGCTTCATTCGGCTAACATCACTGGTGGAAACATTGCGTTTATGTTTTGTCTCAGTTCAACTCACAATTAAACAGCGACACGGCAACCTTCGCAATGTTTACATTCCCACAATGCATTTAAGTTGTAGAATGAATGAATTCACGTGTTTGTTATGAATGAAAAAATAGTTACATCAGAATGTGACCTAATTGAGAGGTCATCGGTTATCCAATCAAATCGTTAGAATCTGAGGTCAAGTCACAGGTCAACGCGATACGACACTTGTGTGACGTACGATATTAGTATGCAACTACCCATACGTTGACCTTGTGGGTAATAAAACCAGGATATTGCTGAGTGTGGCATTAAACAGCTGACTGACAAAACCATATTTAGCTTTGTCTGACAATCTGTTTCTGTTCCAGGGAAGAGAAACAAGAACAGTTGTCTGACATCAAGGATGAGCTGGAGGACACGAAAGGATCAATGGCCAAACTCCGGAATGAGGTGAGACTCAGTTTCATCATTTTATCATAAAAAGGTTACTTCATTGGGCTCTGTATTGGCAAAAACATTGCATATCAATATATGCCAATTTATCATCCAAAACTGTGTTCCACAGTAGATATCGCTTGTGTGAGATATCGTTTTGACAGTAGATTTTGTACAATGCCCTGACAATGCTATGACGTCATGAACTTGTTGACGTCACAATGTTATGACATCGCTACACTGCAAATCTAATGGCAGTACTTTGTTCAGAGATGTACATTTTTCATTGAAAACTAATGAAGAGTGATTTTTTATGATAAATAGAATCTCACCCTCGTGTCTTCTGATATCAAATATATCAACACTCATTGATAAAAGTAAAAATATCCTCAGCAAGCCTCGGATATTTGTTACTTTATCAACTAGTGGTGATATATTTGATATCAAAAGACACTCGGGTGAGATTTTCTATATATCACAATACAGATACCTGTATTGCAATGACATGTATTGTGATATAATTGGGAGCTGATTGACACTGAGTGTACATGCTGATCTTATTTACTCAGCATGGTTAATCACTTGCTATTGCATGGTTGTCGATACAGGCAGAACATGACATAAGAGAAAATCGCTTCTGATTTTCTGAGAGTTTGTCCATCAATTTTGAATTGAAATTTCATTTGTAAATTGATATCTCAGATTTCATGTTAAACTTTAAGATGTAGTGTTTTTATCCAGGAACATAGAAAAACATTTTTCATCATTTGAAAAGCATATGTTCGTATGCTGTAGTCTGGTGTCGAAACATTGATTATACATTTATTGTGACTTGATCTGATGAAGTGTTAAAAATATTAAACTGAGTTTACAAGTACTTGTCATGAAACTAAGGTAATTTGAACGAAGGAAAATTGTGACAAAACTTGATCTGATGGACTCAGGTTATTCTTTTCTTTTTTTAAAAAAAAATTACATTGTTGTGTGACAACCCCTTCTTGTTCAGTCCCTGATAACGTGTCAGCCACTCTCATCTAATTACATGCACTATAGAATTTCTCCAGCCCATTGGATTACATCTGACAGGCTTGTAAGGACAATAACCTGATATTTGGGATTACATGTTTTCCTGTTTAACTAGATCCTCAGATTTGAGTTTACAGTTTGAACAGGTTACAAACTACATGAGAAGATGAGAATTAAACCAAGCCTCAGGTTAAACATAGAGCTGAGGTTTCATTACAGATCACTATCTGGGTTTCATATAGACGATGTGGTGAACTTGAGACATACATGTCATTCTATGCTAGAAAAAAAAACTTGCGTAGTGGGTAGCATTCCTTTCCGTGGCTATTTTAGTCTTACTTGACTGACTGCTAGTGTTACGAGTAAAACCCACTTTTTGAGATTCCTTAAGCCGACCCTAGTATGTACATTGTGCGATGATAGGATCCGCCTCATCTCTGACAAATAAGTGTGTTTTGAGTGAGGCTGTGTTCCGCCCGAGTGACCTCACCGTATATGTGCGGGCTGCAAGCGTGTCGACTTGAGGCTGGTTAAGGAGACCTATGAGTTTGTTTATCTGATGGATAATAGTGGAATGGAATCATTCAGATTTACGGTGGGAAGTCCATTGACGATGACTTCACCGTGACAGGATGTGTTTTGTGTGAGAGTGTTATTTTGTTGTGGTTATTTCAGAACCTTGATCTGACCCAAGACGCGCGGGCAACTCGGGCTCTGAGAGACGAGCTGGATATCATTAAGGAGAAGGTCAGTATGAAGTTAATGGACATGGTCCAGTTTCCCATCATATTGTCACTCTGTCCATCAGCTGAGTGATGGTTGGCAGGTGATGATGGACTGTCATCAGAAATAATATGTGTTATGGGTTGATGGTAAGCAGGTGTCCACTTGGTGGCAGGTTACTTGAGAGTGACTTGTAAACACAGTCACATAGTGTTGACAGAAGAAAAGGCTGAAGTTGTCTGATGCTTTCACTAAAACACAGGTTGACCAGTGGATGCAGTATCGATACTTTCACTAAAACACAGGTTGACCACTGGATACAGTATCGATACTTTCACTAAAACACAGGTTGACCAGTGGACACATGGCTTCGGTAAGGACTGATATGCAACAGTTTCTGGTCTTAAAATAGTTTATGTCAAAATTCAGGTGTGTACAGGTGTGCTTAGAATTAATGGTATGTGTTGGCTGTGATCAATTTTAAACCTTCTAGGAAAGATTTTGAAAAGCATCAAATTATTATTTTGATGATTATGATATTTGTTGCATTTTCTATATTCACTATTATTTATGATTTATTCACTATGTCACAGTCCCATCAGATATATTTTGGGTTTGAAAAATCAGTTACACAGTAGTTGGAGAGTTTGGAATTTGACAAAGTTTATCAGTTGTCACTGATGTCTGGTGCGGCTGCCAGTGTGTTATCGACAGTGTTATCTGTTAGCTGTTACAACAGTTGCCCACACCAAGGTATACTGGCCTCCTTTCCAGCAAGTGTATCTGTAGCTGAAGTATTAGGCCTGTAAATAGAAATCTAGAGTTTCTGTCCGCAATGACGTGTAATTGTGTCCACTTTCATGAAGATATCACCTAGTACATAGCAGTGAGTTATTACCTGCAGTTTTACCACTTGTCAATATGTTTTACTGAGCCAATGGATGGGTGCCTCTAACAAGCTGTGTGGACTAACAGTGATAATAGGAAATTATTATTGTTATATTTTATCATTTTAAAAACCCTTTATTTAAATAATGTGTCATGATGGCTTCAGCTCAAAGCCAATTTAAAAAATTCTATTCCTGTTATATAAGGAATGGTCAGTAATATGATAATTCATCATAATATCACTTCCAGATACATGTGCAGGTTGTATTTCTAAACGAGCCCATCCCACCACCAGCTTACATGGTATGGGACAAGTATGTTCCTGGGTATAAGGTAAAGCAAATGCCTTTCCTTACTGTAGACTGCTTGCCACATTCTACTTGTGATCCAATATTACGGTACCTATACCTCATGAAGATCCTGGTTTGAAGTGGCCAGCAGCCTATGCATGCTTATCATAAAAAGCAACTGACAGGATGGGGTGGTCAAGGCTTGCTGATTTGGTCAAAGCATAAAATTGTAGCGAAATGCACAAATTGCTCATGATGTCAATCAGTGGATTATCTGGTCCAAATTCAGTATTTAAAGACCACCATCATACAGCTGGAATATTACTGAGTGTTTATTTAGATCCAAACTACTGTTAATTATATAATGTAGTGTTACAATTTCCAGTTAGCAATTCTCAGGTTCAAATTTTGTTATAAGAGCTTAACATGAATGACCATGAGGCAACTGCAGTATGTGCTCATGCTATCGACCAGTGGTTTGGTCCAGACTATTTATGTCATGGAGCTGTAGTATTGTCAGCTGATTGTACTGAAGTTACAGTTACATTGACTGTCTTATAATATAGGTTATTGTCAGAAATTCATCAAATTTGAGGAGGCAGGAGACATATTTCAAGTTTCTATTTTTCAAAATTGACTTAAAGTATGCTCCTTGGGGGTATTGTGAGCAACTGTTGACCATCAGGAGGAAGTAGTGTGTAGGTTGAGACAGGAATTAATACTTGGCCTGGTGTGTCAGTTGGGAAGAAGGAAAGGTTATGAGAATCACCAGAACTGTTTTTACATCCTGCTGAAAGTCAGTCATAGTTTGATCCCTGAAGTGATATCATGCAATCTTGGCAGACTCTTTCAGATAGAATTAAGATTATAAAGATTGATTTCCTTGTTCGAATTGACATTTTATTTGATCAGTATTGTTGTTTACAATGCATTGGCTGTAGTGTATGTAGGAAAAGGCTTGTAACATGGTTGTAACATGTAACAGTGAGTACAGACTGTAGTGGGTTATATGCAGGATAAGGGTTATGTTAACATGTGCTTTGAGACCATGCTGGTTCTATAGCTATGTGTAGCCTGTCTCAGTACAGCCTGCATTATAGTCTGTTTGCAGCGAAGAAAACGTACCGATGAATTTCACTTTAAAAAAAAAAAGTAAATCAAATAAAGTGAAATTAAGAGTGCGAATCCTCATAATTTTACCTTGCCAACTGAACATTTAAATCTCAGAATTTTATTCAACATAGGATAAAAGTTGTTTAACAAACGATCATAGTTTCAAGTCGCTATTATTGGTTTGTATTACAAGGGGGAATGCACATTAAATGAAACACTGAGAACAAGTGGGTTTGGTCTGAGTTAACGCTCATCTCATACTTCACGTGCATTTGTTTCACTGTTCCAACTACTGCGTTTACCCCTTTGTAATACAAACCGATAATAGCGATTTGAAACTGTGATTGGTTGTTAAACAACTTTTATCCTAAGATGAATAAAACCGATATTTAAATGTTCAATTGGCAAGGTAAAATTATGAGGATTCGCAATCTTAATTTCACTGTATTTGATTTACTTTTTTGTTTAAAGTGAAATTCATCGGTACGTTTTCACTGCAAACAGACTATAAGTGGAAATGTCTGAAGACACACCATGTTAACTATAGCAGAGTGGTGTGTTGATAAGACTCTGCAGAGCTTGTGGCAGTACAGGTTGTATGTGATGATGTTTCATGATTCACCACAGTGGCTGTAGTTGTGTGGAGGAGAAAGCTTTGTAGCATGTCTCACTAATTTCCAGCTGTAGAAAGAGGAGATGTGTCAAGATACGCCACACAGGCGCAAGTGGAGACATGGCATTAAGATGTTAAACAGAGCAGGGCTTTGCTTGTGTGGAGTGAGGTATTAGTCATGGACAGAGACATTTGGCCTACTGTAATGTGTTCATGCTTTTTCAACTCTTGTGGTAATGATTTGTAGCAGCATTTATTGAAGTCAACTTCTTGGATTTTTTAACTTGTATAGTAAGTTTGCATATGCTGACTCTTCAGGACTGTCGCCATGGTGTAGTGGTTAGAGCATCCGCCCAGAGAGCGGAAGGTCGCGGGTTCGATCCCCAACCGCGTCATACCAAAAGACGTTAAAATATGGTAACTTGTTGGTCCCTGCCTGGCGCTCGGCATTTAATGGGTACAACAATAACTGGTCGGCTCGGAGTCAGTATAATGTGTCTGAGTGGGGTATTCATGCTTCACTGCGGCATGGTATCTCAGTGGGCTAGCACTATAAAACCAGCTTAAGTCTGGGCTAGTGCAAGCAGCTGCACATACACATACACACGAATGCAGGTCGTCATATGAGCGAAATATTCTCAAGCATGACGTTAAACCCAATTTCACTTCACCTCACCTGACTCTTCAGTAGTTGACACATTGGGTGAAAGGGTTTCTTAGGGACCAGTCATGCATTATGGTAATGGTGGCAAGGAATCCGAGGTGACATAACATGACTAAAAAATAATTCACATATTTGGGGAGGGTCCTGTTGAAGTTGACATTGCATAATGAAATATTAGTGCTTATGCATTTTGTCCTTTCAGTGAAGGTCATGAATAGAATGTAAGAGGACATTGGGAGAGTCATCAAACGATATGACAAGCACTACTGGAGGGTTACTGTTAAAGCATAGAGAACTTCTCACCCACCAATCCCTGTAATGAATAATGTGTCACTTGTTACAAGCCCAATGTTAGGCCAGACCAATTTTATTTCTTGTTTTACAGATTTTTGTCTTCAGAAAAGTTAAAGGCAGGAGGGGGGGAAATACATAAATAAACTCACCAGTCAAAGTAATATTCCTTCTAAAGACACAAAGTATGTTATTTGAGGCAATTTATGAAGTGTATATGGGGTTAAAAAAAAAAAATCTAAAAACAAAATTTCATGTATGTTTCCATTTTTGGCCAATAAAGACATAGGGATTTTATTTTTTGAGCAGGGAAAATTGGTCTGGCCTACAACAGTAGATCCAAAAACAAAGAAATAAAATTGGTGCCTGTATGCTAGTACCCCGACCACATGGACCTCGTGTCTTCACATTATATTTGAACACTCCTATAGGAGTAGTGGCAGTGGCAGCATGTAGATGGTCCCAGTAGGCTGACAGGGACTCAGTTGAAATGCAGTTAACCATGCATGAAATAGTGTAATGTGAATTACAGCCAGATTCTCTCAAGCATTGATTGGCTGTTTTATAGTACACACACTGATGCTGTTACCACATTCACCTGCTCCAGAGTCCCGGTGAGTCTCTGGAGATTATAGGCTGGATTTTGTGCCTTATAACCTATTTGTCATAACAGGTAACATAAACTGACCTGGGCCCCGTTTCACAAAGCTCTCGTAGGCCTAAGATCTTGTAACACCTACGATATATCTTACGATACCACGCTAAGGGCGTTTCACGAAAGTATCTTAGTACTCTTGTTGTTACGAGAAAACTTACGGTTTTGTTTTTGACTTATGAGAATAAAGCTCATTTACGAGAGCAAATACTTACCGTAACTTTTATTGTAAATTTAGGGTATCGTAAGCCTACGAGAGTTTCGTGAAACGCCCATAAAATCGTAAGATTGTGCTACGAGAAAAGTTACAAGATCTTAGGCTTACAAGAGCTTTGTGAAACGGGGCCCAGGTTGTCGGACTCGGTGACCAGCTCAATATGTTGTTCATGATATCAACCACTGTTTTGTGTGGTTGACTGGTTTGGTTGATGAAATAATGGTGACTGCGATGTTAAACACCTTTCTTCAACTCGCCTGCTCGAGAAAACAACAAGCTGCCATGGTGCTGTTGATGTAAAACAATACTGTTAATCACCTTTGGACTGTTTCCTTGGCATTAGGTAGCCAAATGGTTAAGAGGGTTTGGTTAGACAAATCAAAGATTCAGGTCCTCAGGTCCTCAGAGGTACCGAATGGATCATGGTCAGACAGAGTGACTTGGTTGAAAGCAATTTTCAGAAATATGTTTTGATAATTGTGGAGATTCACACATGTTTGTTCCGAAAAGTTGATCAGAGAAGAAATCTTCAGACTTTCATTGCAATACCTCAAAGTTGTGTTTTAGTTCTCATGAGCGTTCTTTCCCTCCACAGGCGAGCAAGGTTGACACGTACGAGAAGGAGATCAGCAAGTACAAGGAGCGACTGAATGAGCTGGAGTTCTACCGGGCTCGCATGGAGGTGAGCTACAGGCCCTACATACAACAACAGTAACAAACATTGTCCCATTTAAAAAACACAGAAATAATTTTTAAGACCTGTCTTGAATTTGGAAAGATTTATTGTAGTGTTTGTTGTATAATGTGAGCTGTGTGTTTGAAGATGTTGGTGTTACCAATACATCCATACACTACCATTTGGATTGTGTACAGCACAATGTTCAGGGACTCAATTTAATGAATGTATAGGGTCACCCATTAAAAGTCTGGAATTACTGGCCTACTGTACATTAGGGAAATAGACTTAGTCAAGCTTACTGGTAAATGGGCATAAATGTTACCTGATGTATTTTAGCATTTTGTTGTGTAATTGGATCTCACAATTTAGAAACAAATATATGCATTTTTGATGTGAGAAGGCAGTTTTTAATCCTTATATTCAGAGCATGTTTCAGTATAGAAAGAAAAGTATTGTCGCTGTAAATTTTACTTTTTTTTTCCAAATACAGACATGTTTCCCTTAAGCATGCCATAACGCTGTGATTGTGCCCATCAACTCCACTAAAGTAGGATTGGGCCTGTTAAACTTAGGGCTTTCATCCCACTTTAAAAGATACATCAGAGATATAACTGGTTACTGTTTAAAGCAGCATTAGAACAAACTCACTCTTGCTACTCTCTCATACTTGGTTTAACTGAATCACAGCACGCACTCTCACTACACTTACAACACACACACACACACTCACTCACTCACTCACTCACTCACTCACTCACTCACTCACTCACTCACTCACTCACTCACTCACTCACTCAATGTGTGTGCCTCCTTGCAGGAGCTGAGGGAAGAGAACAACATCCTAGAAGAGACGAAGACCGTTCTGGAGGACCAGCTGGCAAGCAGCCACAAGAGAGTTGAGACTGTTCGCGAACTTGAGAATGAACTGCTCAAATTCCTCGAGCTCACCCAGGAAATGACTGCTGTAAGTATCGGCTGCTTGATGGCTACTGATGAGCTGAAACTTTGACAGAAACAAACAGTCATGACTTGAGACATGCAACAGAGGTTGAGGGATAGGATGTATGTCTTGACGTAGGTTCATTGCTAATGAGATGTGACTTTTTTATGTTGTCTGTAATGTTGGGATAATCTTAGTGAACAGTTTGAGAGGATTGTGGATGTTCAAGTTACCAAAGACTATATGTTTGACTGACTTCAAGCTTAAAGAGTTAGAGTAGATATAGATTGTTGTGTGCTCTGTTTTCTACAAATGATGCAAGGTTTAGTGTTATCAGAGACAGGGTTGGTGTTAACCCAGCTATATGGGCTCTCATTGCTCGTGCTGTCTGATGTAACATAGGGCCAAATGGGAGATGTAGGTTGTCTTGAATAAAACACCGACTATAGAGTCAGAGGTACCCTAGACTGTATTGTACACATTGCTTCTGTAGGAGAGAGATGGTGACCGGGAGAAGATCCAGCAACTAACTGAAGACATCTTACGACTGGAAATGGACAAGAAGAACTCAATGAACGAGAGCGCCAACCTGGAACAGGAACTTCAGGATGCCAGGCACAGGCCAGGAGGTGAGGACTGCTGTAGTGTTTATTCCTTCATGTCATGTTCATTCCTAGGTTAGCACATGTAGGGTTACGTCGGCGCCATGTTTCTATATCAGAACGAGGCTCTCTATGATGGGACCCATGAAGATCTGGGGTAGAATAGGTCTTCAGCAACCCATGCTTGCCACAAAAGGTGACTATGCTTGTAAGAGGCAACAAACGGGATCGGGTGGTCAGGCTCACTGACTTGGTTAACACATGTCATCAGTTCCCAATTGCGCAGATCGATGTTCATGCTGTTGATCACTGGATTGTCTGGTCCAGACTCAATTATTTACAGACTGCCGCCATATAGCTGGAATATTGCTGAGTGCGGCGTAAAACTTAACTCACTCACTCACTCTCTATGATAGTCATGTGACCATGTACAGAAAAGCTATAAATAGCATGCATTACACTCATTACACTGCTGTGGTACCATCTGGTTCATAGACCTGCCAGCAACACTAACTCATGAAGGTTGATGTGAGGAAACCTAATGTTAATTATGTGGACTAGTCACAACGTGACCTTGACAGTTGTAGTATTTTGTTGTGACCAAAGTACTGGTACAGTGTATTACATTAATGTTCTCTGTTTCAGTTGTAAGTGGCTCCCTGTCTGACCAGCTGAGTGAAACGTCAAATGCTAGGATCCTACGACTGCAGCTGGAGAACCAACAGCTGCACGAGAAGCTCCAGGAAGCATCAGAGAATGCACTGATCCAGAACACAGCCATCAACCTGGAGAATGAGAAGGAGATCCAGAGACTCTCCAAGAAGCTGGAGAAGCTCCAGGAAAGCAATTCCTTGGCTTCCCAGGAGTGTCTGGACATGGAGGAGCAGAAGGACGAGCTTTGTCGGGAGAAGGAAAAGTTGATCGTCACCCTTGAGATGGTGAAAGAGAACAGTGATCGGCAGGTGCGCGAACTGGAGGCTGAGAACGAGCATCTCGCCCAAACCATCGATGTTCTCCGGGAACGTAATGAGAAGTCAAATGATGCTCGGACTAAAGATTTGGAAAGGGAAAATCGAAGACTCCACGAAACAGTGACAACTAAGAATGCTATGCTTTCAAAACTTGAGTTCGAAACAAAACAATTAAACAGGTCGTGTCAAAAGTTGAAGGAAAATGTTGATAAGGTGCCAGAACTTGAGGATGAAAATAATAAACTGGAAAAAGAAAATTCTGAAATGCATAAACAGATTACCACGCTAGAATTAACCTGTGATAAACTTAGTACTGTGGAACAAGAGCTTTCTGATTTAGATGTGGAGAACAGGAAGTTGTCCAAAACTGTGGAAACTTTGCAGAATTCTCTCAGGAAGAAGGAACAGTTGGAGGAACAGAACATCAACTTGACAGTGGAAAATCAGAAACTACAGAGAACGTTAGACTCTTTACGTGATTCCTCAGAGAAAAATTTCCAGTTAGAAAATGATAAGGATGTGTTAAATAGAGAAATACAACAGCTGAAGAAATCTTTGGAATCTCAGAAGCAGCATAAAGCAAAACAAGAACAGATGGAATTTGAACTGTTAGACATAGACAATGAAAATCAAAGACTTCAGAAATCTCTAGATATCACCACGAGGAGGATGGAGCAGTTAGAAAATGATAACAGCGATCTAGAAAATGAAAATGAAAAGCTTGCTAAGACATTAGAATCAATGAAAGTATCAATCAAAAGGTTAGAAGAGAAAGAGAAAGAAGCTTTGGAGACCGAAACCGAATTGAGCGAACTGCAAAAAGAGAAGGTTGCTCTGGAAAAAGAGAATAAGAAAATTAGGCAGTCGCTTGATGTACGAGAATCGTCTTATGAGGAGGTGACGGCACGTAACGCGGCTCTGGAGCAGCAACACAAGTCTCTGAAGAAGTCCATGGAGAAACTGAAGGAGACCTGCGCCCGTGTCCGGGACCTGGAGAAGGAGAACAAGGATCTCCTGCAGGAAGTCCATCTGGATAAGAAGACCATCCCTGCTCTCAGAGAGGTAAGTAGAACACTGTCGTGTGGTGGTAGAACGCAATGGCTCACCCGTAGGTATTTCTGGTAAAAATATTGGCCCCCTCTAAAAATCTTTGGTTGTCATAAAGGGCGACTAAATGGATCGGGTGGTCAGGCTCACTGACATGGTCATTGTATCCCAGTTGCATGTGGGGTGGTAGGGTAGCCTAGTGGTTAAAGCATTCGCTCGTCACGCCGAAAACCCGGGTTCGATTCCCCACATGGGTACATTGTGTGGAACCCATTTCTGGTGTCCCCCGCCGTGATATTGCTGGAATATTGGTAAAAGTGGCATAAAACCAAACTCACCCAGTTGCATGTTTTGGTGTTCATAATATCAGTCATTGGATTGTTGATTATTTTGAAACCACCATCTTATATTCAATGTATTGCTGAGGGCTGTGTTACAATGTCAATGAAAAATACAACAAATCTTTTGCAAATCATAGGTATCTGTATATAAGTGTAACAATAGTCTCGTGCGCTTTTATGCTGGACCCAAAACTAATTCTAGTAACAACTAAGAGTTATTTTACAGACAGTTATATTTTGTCCGTTTTAGTTTTCTGACTTGAACTTCTGTGTGCTTCAGGACCTGGTGAATGAAAAGATTAAGTCCACCACTCTGTGCAATGAGTTGGAGACCTTGAAACATGAGCTGGAGCGTGTAGGCATCAACAAGGAGAAGCTGGTCATGGCTGAACAGATGCAGGACGATAGGTAAGACGGGAACTTTGTGGACCCAAATTCCAGTAACTCCAGTATCACTACAGACCCAACAGAATCCTTGACACAGGTTTAATGTTGACACTTTGATTGGCAACATACACTGTAACTCATTTCATGACTCCACGGGAATTTCAAATGATTAAGTTTCACAGTATCTTTTTAATGAGGAAATCAGATACCTTATTCAGTGTTTCTTACACTGATGACTCCAAGCTTGTGGATCCTTTTCACACCCAGAAAGGGAGTTTAGTGTGTTTGTAGGGAAGGAGTAATTGTTACACCATGTTTTTATTCAACCCAGATGTTTAGCTAATGGGATTGGGACAGGTCCAGATTTTCTACCCGGGTACCCAACCCCCATTACCCTATCCTACCCGGATACCTGTTATGTTAATTCCTGACAAAAATTGTAAGAAATGGCAATATATTCTTCAGATCAGAGGCTAAAATTTGGAGTTTTTCCATATCTTAACCATGTATTTTATTCAAAACAGATGGCTGTAAATTATATCTAAATCTTCAAAGACAATACAACCTTTTAATCATGAAAGAATAACATATTACATTGTTTAATCTATTAGTCACATGATCATAATGGGTCCGGGTATTGAGACAGGTACCCGGGTCCAACTGATTTCCCACCCGTCCCGGGTATCTAGGTTACCCGTCCCAGTCCTATTAGCTAGGTACTCACTACATGTGGGATGTGTTTGATTCTTGACAGTCGCTACCAGGCACTGGAGTCCATGATGGAGGATGCCTTCAAGAAGAGCCTGGATTTGAAGGAGCAAAAGATACAGCTATTAGAAAGCCGGTGAGAATAACTGTCCTTTTTAAATCTGCATGATCTCTTTCAATAGACATTCATTGTCCACACATTGTTTACTGCAGGAATGTAAGTGATGTCTTCAAAGTAGGAGTCCCTTTTTTGTGTTGAGCATGTTCAACAAGATAATGCTTTCCACAAAGTTACCTCTGAGTTATGGCTATTTTACATAGACGTACACAGACTAATGAAAGTCATAGCACTTGGAGGAGCAAGGTCTGCTCAGCTATGTTTTGAAAATTGCCTTTAATCAGTTGTGACAGTAGTTCTATAGCTATGTGGGATCACTGTATAGAATGGGGTGCATTCCACATGTTGTGTGTTCTAATGTTCTGAGGGGACGGTGGGGTAGCCTAGTGGTTAAAGTGTTCGCTCGTCACGCCGAAAACCCAGGTTCGATTCCCCACATGGGCACAATGTGTGAAGCCCATTTCTGGTGTCCCCCGCCGTGATATTGCTGGAATATTGCTAAAAGCGGCGTAAAAACAAACTCACTCACTCACTCACTCTAATGTTCTGATGTTGACTTCCACTCATTAGTTTAACTAAGACAGTTCCAGCAGGTCAAGGTCACTTTTTGAAAATGATCCAGCACATTGTGGTCCTAGAGTTTTTGTGTTCTGAGAGTATCTGCAATGAAGTTGACTTGTTTGGTGTCTCAGGTTGGAGGAGTCAAAGAGCTGGAACCAGAAGCTGAATGAGGACCTGCGAGAGGCGCGACGTGAGTCCGAGATGCTGAAACAGAGACATGAAGAAGAGGAGATCTACAGGGAGAGTGACAGGTCAGGAGCTTCTTCCTGTAACATTACACCTGTGATGTTCATTATGATGATTAATTAAGCTATAGTATTGGAGAGTTTAAATTTTTTGTCATGTTTACTCTGTTGCTGTTGTAACAGGAAGAATGAGTCTGTGCGGTCAGAGCATCACCATCATCATCATGCCACACAGGACATCCTGGATCTCAAGGACCATCTGGTGCAGGTGGAAAGGACGGTAAGTACTTCATATACACCTCCAGTAGGGCGGTTAACACACATGGGGTATGTTCCCTTCCTCAAGAGGATTTTATGTTTGCATCAATGCATTAGTACTATATACAAAGTCTATATTCTTCAGTTCAGGTTGGCTGTTCCTAGATTGATGCTCATGATACTGATCACTGGGTTGTCTGGTCCAGACTTGATTATTTACAGACCACTGCCATAGAGCTGGAATATTGCTGAGTGCGTCAGTAAACAAAAACAACAGCAAGGTTGGCTGTTACTGTACGTGAATCAGTGGATGGATATTTTGTTTTGATGGCTGCACAAAAATTGTGTTTAAAAACTTACAAATTGGTATCAGACACATTGTAGCATCAAGTAGAGACTTTTGAGTATGTCTGTCTTCTATTTCCAGAATGCCACACTGATGTCAGAGAACAGTAACCTTAAAAGCCAGAACACCTACCTGAATGACCACATTCAGAAACTAGATGATCAGAATCTCAACCTCCAGTCCCGGACATCCTCCCTCCAAGAGCAGTTCGTTGCCTTACAGTCTCAGAATGCCAAGCTCCAGGTTGAAACAACGACCCTCCAGTCCAAGTGTTCATCTCTCTTCTCACACAACAACGCTCTGCAGAGTCAGATGTCCACCCTGGAGTCGGAACACGAACTGTTGATCCAGAACCATGAGGACCTCCAGACATCACATGAGTCCTTTGTGTCAGACCATGAGTCCCTGCAGCAGCTTCATGAGCAACTGACAACAGACTACGAGTCCCTCATCTCCGAACATGGGTCCCTGAAGTCCATCCATAAGTCTCTGAAGAACGAGCTGAAGGACCTTCAGGAGCAGCTGGACTCCTTGCTGCAAGGGAAGGATGATGTCAACAAGCTGCGAGAGGTTCTAGAGCGGGAGAGAGAGCAGCTCAAGTCTGAACTCAGGGCTCTGGGCAATCTTCAGATGGACTATGACAAGCTGCGGATGAGCATGATCGATTGAGAAGTGGTTACGATAAACTGAGTCAAGATTATCGCGGGGTTTTGACTGATCACAAGCAGATGAAGAAGGACAACCACACACTGAATCTGAAGAACACGGAGATGACGGGGGAGGTCGGGGAATATAAAGACACCGTAACCACCATGGATGTGGAGATGCAGAAACTGGAGAACAGGTTTGATGTGAGTATTGCATCTGTATCAGAGGCATGGGATAGAATAATGGAGAAGCTTTAAGTCTTGTCCAATGGACTACTCTTGGTTTAATAGCCATATGGGTACTCTTTGTGAAGCCCTTCCATCCTCTCTGGTGTGATCTTGCTAGGAAACTAAAACCTTCATTAGACAATACCATTATCAGTGTCCATAATTAAGTATGAATGTCAAAGGGCCTTGTCACTGCCCTGATGTCAACAGATGAGAAAGCACCAAGATTCAGGTACTGTTGCCAGGACCTATAGGAAACCAGCAAATTGGGTGATAAGCATATTGTGTTACATTACCATGTTAACTTCTGGTGTGTTTTTTTTTGAGGATTTGATGGCTATATTGACTTTCTCCCCTGCAGGCACTGTACCAGGTGAACCAGAAGTTGGATGAGGAGAACCGCGCATTGCTGTACCAGGTGCAGCAGCTTCTCAATCAGAACCAAGACCTCCTTACTCAGGCCCTCAACAGCAAGGACCAACAGCAGGAGGAGCAGAAGTCCTACATGTAAGTAATGGTAGACTCATTGCTGTGATACTGTACCTGGTGGGATGGCAGTCACCGAGAGTCCTGTGTCAAGGTAATAGCAGACACATAGGTGTACTGGATCTTGCTTTGGTGTGTAAGGTCTGGAACTACAAGCCCACATGAACATAGTCAGAAGTCCTACATATAAGTAATGGCAGACTCATCATTTCACTGTACCTGGTAGGACGGTAGGTTCCAAAAGTTTTGTGTCAAGGTAATAGGAGACATGTAGGCATACGGTACCAGGTTATAGTAGCACAACAGGCACCAGAAGTCCTGTGTCGAGATAGTAGCTGATTTGTTGGTGCACTGTGCCTGGTTATAATGGGAGAGCAGGCATCAGAAGTCCTGTGTCGAGATAGTAGCAGACTTGTTGGTGCACTGTGCCTGGTTATAATGGGAGAGCAGGCATCAGAAGTCCTGTGTCTAAGTAACAGGCAACACATAGCTGTACTGTATCTGGTTCTGGTGGGTAAGGTCTGGAACCAGAGGCCACACATGATAAAGTCAAAGACTCCAGGGTGCTCTGTACCTGGCTGGGATAGGACAGGGTTATTATTTTCATGAAGAAGCCCTACATTGAACTGTACTTACTCATGTTAACTACCACAACAGAGAGAAGTTGGCTGACCTGCGTCGGCAGAAAGAGCGTCTGGAGGAGAAGATCATGGAACACTACAAGAACAGATGGGACTCCCCCAAGAAGTAAGTTGTCCACTGTATTCCTCACTCCTACACTGCAGACTATACAACCTGTACACATCATCTCCTGGTTGCGTGACACTTCACAGCCTCAATGCTGACATGTCTTCAACACAATGTATGTCTGTCTGTTCCAGGAACAAGGGTTTCGGTGCAATGATAGCCAGGAAGGCCAAGGGAATTATTTCTCGGGTAAGAAATATGTTTGTTATTTATACAGTTACCGGTTGTGTTTTTCAGGTTTTGAGTGAAATTCACCAGAATATTTATGCACACATGCTTCTTAAAGGCTACAGTATATTATCGGGTATTCCAGAGACAGCGAAGTAAAAGTCGACCAAATCTGGCATCAGAGAGTCCTGAGAACTCAACCATGGGATCTATGTCACATGCAGAGTCAGGCGACCACATCAACGACAGTCGGAAATCAGGTAGGCTGGTTGTGGGTAGCTGGAGGTGGTGCATGTGGTATAAACTATATATACAACTCATGTGGACGGGTTGCACACAGTACATACCTGGTAATGGTGATAGTTAAACACCAGGGGCTTCTTTAACGAAGCAACCTTTACTACGGTTAACCTTAACTCCCATTCTTTAACATTGACCTAAGGTTACCTTAGTGACTTACAATCATCTTAGTGCTTTGTGAAAGGGCCCTAATTCACAAAGCGTTCGTCATGTTACGAGCTATCGTAACTATGTAGTTAATTATTGGCTTCCGAATATTGTAGTGCTACAAACTCTTTGTGAATGGGGCCCCAGTGATGAAAGTGGTGTAAATATCAAGCTGGTATAAAATTGTATCTGACAAAAGAGGTCCGTGATCATGAATATTTTTAGGATTTTTTCTTCTTCTTTTTCATAGTGAAGACTGAGCACACGATTTCATACAAGATATCCCAAAAATATTCATAATCAGAACTATTTCAGTTCAGTACATTTCTTAGACTGGTAGTTGGACGGTGTAACAATAGTTCTGTTAGAAGTGTAGCAGTGACTTCCAACTTGACTGTAGAAGACTAACATCATTCCACATTAGGGATTTCAGTTAATTCATTAGGTGCCTTGATTAGGGCAGTATTGGGCTGGTGTATATGCACGATTGCTCACATTCACCTCTAGAAATAGTGGGTGCTTCATCTTGAAAAAAAAAGCTGTTTTTAACACCTGCATGTTGTTCACTTTGTAATTTGTGTACCTTGCATGCCGCATGATCAATTTCTTCTGCATGTGATCTTAACATCTTAACATCATGCACAGATTATCCTCAACATCACGTCATTTGGACACTCGCCTGCTTCTGTGCTCTGTTCACAAGATGCTGTTAGAGCGGCAACTAATAAATGGTGCATACCTGAACATGTAGCATCACAATAATATCGCATTTTGCCAGTGAAAGCACAATTGCACTGTTTAACTTGATTTTACATTGTAACACAACACATGCATTGTAACACTGTGCCTAACACCGGTACAATGTTTATTACCAAAGGGATGAAATTTGAAATGACAGGTTGTGAGACACTAACACTCACGTCATTCGAGGTTGACCCATCCTAACTATGTACTAGCAGTGCAACAACCACTTCACTCCAGGGGAAAATTTCTGACTGCACAAATGGCTATGCTATGTGGAGTTATGTCCCCTGGTTGACCTTTCGTGACCAACTCTTGTTATTCCGGGACAAGCCGAATAGCGACAGGCTTTCATATTGGCGCATGAACATCAGAACTATTTTCAACAAGAACAATAACTCTATCCTTGTTTCATTCCAATGTTCTTAATATCACCTAAGCACTTGTACATTGTATTGCTGTTTTGGTTTTTACTTATTTATTTTAAAGAATTAAACCTCTTTGATACAACTAAAAGAAGAAGAAAAACATATTTGTTAAAGACATATTATTACCAGCTGTTCAACTTCTATTCCAATTATATTTCTAAATAGGGTTTCATAATCACAAATGGAAATTGTTTTATTGAATATGCCCCCAAAAATATTCTTTTTCTTCAGCTACATTAAATCCCAAAGAAGATATTCAAAAATTACTTTAAAATATTTCTCAAACTGTCATACCCCTGGTAGAATTTTAAATGAAATCACTGTAAATAAAATGTGAATGTTCTCTTTCTCCTCTTTCTTCCCCCCTCCCCCCCCCAAAAAAGTCAGATATCCCCAGAGATGTGAAATATAAGCACAATGTTAAAAAATAAAGTTCATTAGTTACATACAGATATAATATCATTGTTTTGAAACTCATAGCGATATATAATTACATTTCCTAAAAATGTTGGAAGCGCACGTACAATCTCCAAAACAAGCCCGCAAGATCGTTAGAAATACACTCAATTGGACCCATGAGAGCCGTTAAATCAACAAACACACGTGCATGTAATTGAATCTCTTACCATTCAGGGCATTATTCTTGTTAAAAACTTCACATTAGGCAACAGAATCCTGTTAGCTAAGTTCTTTGTACTTTCACAATGACGGTATATATTTTTCATGATTTATTGAACAAAAACGTAATGCCAAAAGCGATTTGAGTCCTCGGGATTATTTTTGTCAAAGCACTGCAATCATTACGTGCGTTCTGATTGGTTTGTCGTATTTTCTTCTTGGAGGTTACGGAAAGGGGCAAATGGTGATGAATGCTGGTTGACCAGATCTTCTCATCTTTGGTTTTCAATGGTTACAATGCTTGGTTTGTCAGAGCATGGCCATGTGTTCCTGCAAAGGGGAACTGTCTGCAACCAACACATAAATACCAAGCTGATATAATTAAAATACTTTTGGATGCATGGGTAAGACCACATCTCATTTACTTGCTCCGATCCACACCTCTCCAACCTCTAATCTCCACTCTTCTCCACTCCATTCCATCAACACAGCACTGTTATTCAATGTAATAGTTGTACATCATTGTACAGTTCAAGACTTCATTGACCACCCTACAACAATGTACAAGTTATGTGCACTGATATTTTCACCCAGTGCTAGATCTAGCTGCCTGCCATTTCAACCACAAGGGAACTTGGGAAGCACTCTAACACATGATTAACATTGGCATGATTTTTGTCAAGAATTTACTTGCATGGTCAGTTTATTTGCACAGTGTTTTTGGTTTTTTTGGTCTAAGAAATTTGTTTGACAAATCAAAAGATTAACTAATGGATTGGTCTGAAAGTATTTAAGCATGACAGACAATATAATAACAAAGTTGTCATCTTTCCCAAAGTACTGTATTTATTTAAAAAAAATTAATTGTAACTCTTTTCTATGTAACGTTTTACGATGAAGTGTTATTTAACAAGTTTTGTTTCTGACACGATGTTTTGTTTACCACTAACTCAGACAAACGAATGAGGCGGAGTAGCGAGGGTAGTGCGCTACTGGCCACACCCAAACTGGCAAAGCAAAATAAAAGTCTAGCCAAATCAACCACTGCTCTCAACTTCACGCAATCTCCTAAGGATAGGCCGAAACTCCGAGGTAATGATTTCTGTCTTGTGCAGTTCTTCCGTCCCTGCATGGATATCGCAGTCTTGGTGTTGTGCTTTTCTTATTATTTACCTATTGTGGTTGTGGAATAAATTATTTCTTATTTATTTTGTATCAATCCAGAAAAGGCATGTCAATAAAAAAAAATTCAGTTGGTTTAAGTTTCAACTCGCGTCAACCATCATACTGTTTATGCTAATAAGGGAAGACCAATTAACCATCATTTTCTTCATGCCTTTCAGTTAATGTTACGTCATATCAACATTTAGTTCAGACAATTCTAACTACTTCATAGATTTGTGTTCGTCTTATTCTTTGTACTAATATTCGTAGTATCTCAATGGATTCTTGTCAGCAGATTTTTAAAGATAATATGTGGAATAAATTTGAGTTGGTGCAACCACTGCTCTACTTGGCCCTCATGTACAATAATTCCCTCTTCATAGTGCAGGGAGGAGTTTGAAATATTGTAGACAGCATTTCATGTGTGGTGTTGTCTTTGGTAAGGGCCTTTCGATGGCTCTCAGTGAGTTCGATGTTAGTATATCTCAGGGGATATTTTTGATTATTTCCTCACAATTTGTATTCAGCTCTATCCTTTGTGCATCGAGCAGCAGATTATATTTCACTGTTGACTATGTAGATTCTGTGTTGTCCATGTTGTGTGTTGTTACCATGGTGACTACAAGCCTTGTGTAGCACCTGCTGGATGTCTTCAGAAAGCATGTCCTCAACAGATATGCTGCAAGTAGAGATATGTGTTGTACTTAGGCTAGAACATGTGTGTATTTGGCAAACCTGTCCATCACCAGACAACTCCTTTTGACAAACTAATTCCCTAGTTACTAGGGCTGTGTATCGGCAAATAAAGTGTATTGCAATGTATTCCAATTCTGGTACTCGTATTCCAATATGCAGTGTTCACGAATGGTGTTTCAGAGTAACAGGACATTTGGTCCTGCAAGTTTCAGATGTCTGTCTGACCCATTGAAAATTCACAGGACCCATAGAATGAAATTAAACACACATTTCAGATTTAACATTTCTTATAATTGGCATTAAAATTATTAACAAACATAAGATTTATAAACAGCAAACAAGTGTCACATGTCACATATAACAACTTCAGTCAAAGTCATTGTGAAATATACAGTCAGACACTGGGGCCGGTGGGTTTTAGACTTCTATCACACAGTTGGCGAATCTGCCGGATTTGTCATAGGGTCAGATGCTATTCATGAACACTGATATGTATTGCTATATATTGGGAGTTTCAAGCCTAGATTTCCCAAGTTCAGGTTCTGAATTTCCCATCTCACTGGGTCTCCTCTTCAATTAAAATGTAACTATCAAAATTATATATATTCAGAGACAAAGCGATAGTCTAGCTTTGGCATGACAAGTGAAACTTTAACCACAAGGCTACCCTATTGCCCGACATTACATGGTATAACAGGAATACTGTGTTCTTGACTTAAAGTTATAGTTCCGTCTCCTATTCTCACGGGTTTCCTATTCTCACGGTAAACACGTTTTCTGCCGATATTGCTGATGCGTGACACCGAGGGGTTGTTAACCTTACCGACCGGTAACTAGGAAGTGGCCCAAGTCAGCGAGAGATCAAAATCTTGCAATGTCACAAATTTTGGCTGAGTTTATACCAACTTGGACATATGATTGCTCTTCCATACACTCCATAACGTTACTTCCTCGTTCTACCGGAAGAATGGGAGAAGCCTCATGTCGTCAATGGCAGATGGAATTGTTTATCACCGGGCTCACAAGTGGTAACTCACCTGATGGATCTAGCAGCTGATAGATGCAGATGTTAGAGGAGAAGGCCCTTCATTTAAAAACAACAAGCATTCATACGAGAAGAATTGTTTGTGTTATTTTTTCAGCCGATATCTGTAAGTGCCGCGAGAATAGGAAACGCCTTCATGTGAGCTCAGGTCAAAGAGCAATGTTACTCATATCTGACCAGGTTGTGCATGCAATGGTGGACAGGTTTGCCTCGATGTTGTTGCTTTGTTTGTGTACATGTGCTGGGATAATGGGAGCTTGGTTGTTCGCTGCAGGTGCAAAATCCACTGAGGATATCGTGAATGACTTGTCACACAGTGGGAGCGGGGAGAAGGACTCCTTGTCGTCAGGCAACTCCACACAGCTTCTTCCAGGTAGTGCACACAGTATTTAGAGTTTTGAGGGTGATGCAGAGCTATGTAAGCCAGTCAAAATGTAGTGGTTGTGGGACTTTATGTGAAGCATTTTGTAAAGATTTGATTTTGGCTTGATGGAATTAATTATTCCAAAATCCTCAAAGGGTTTACCTTAATTTTAATTTGCTGTTTCCAGGTTACAAAGATCTCAAGTAACCAATGTTGGTTGTAAGAGGTGATGGTCACAATCAGTGACCTGGTCAAACAGCTTGCCATCATATATCAACGTCATTGTTTACTGTTCAAAATATCAATCACTGGATTGTCTGGTCCAGTTTCGATTAAGGCTGATGTCATTTAGCTGGAATATTGCTGAACGCTGTGTCAAACAAGCAAACTAGACCTGGCAAATTGTTAGGATTCCACTTGGCAGCAGATGTCTTTAACATGCAGAGAATTGTACCATAGGAATCATGTGTGAGCTTTCAGTTGATATGAGAGAAGCCGCTTTGGGATTCCAAGTTAGGGTAGGTCCCCAGCAACCTCTGCTTGTAAAAAGCGAATTATTGGATGGGATGACATGGAAGATGATTGGACTTAGTAGCTGCCCAAAAATGGTTTAAGCTCTTTAGTTAGCCTACTGTAAGTATCAGGTAATATTTGGGATATAACATATGTTATATTTGGTATTACCCTTTCCTGGTAAAGTACAGATTCTAGTACTTTTGTTGGGTTGAGTGCCATCTGGGATTCGAACCCACATCCTCAGAGTCAGGCACCTAATCACCAGCATACAAAGTCAGCCGCCTAACCCACTCAGCTACCGCAACTTCCCTTTGTGTGCTGGCAACTCAACCCAACAAAAGTACTAGAATCTATTCTGTCCCGAGAAATGGTATTCCCAAAAATAACATATGTTACATTTGACCACTTTCTAAATGGCATTGTGTAATATTTAGGATAGACTGATTTCCCAGAGATGAGCTTTTAAACCATATAGCCCAGCTGGGATGACATGTTCTGCATCTTGTGTACAAGCGCTGATATGTGTAGGTTTGGGGCGTCAGTACCAGGCTGCAGATGAGGAGGCTGGCTTCATGCCGCTGTCACCTAAGTCTCCTGTTGCCCGGCGACCAGGCTCACCTGGAAGTGAGATGCTCACCTTGGCACAGTTCCTTAACGAGGCCAACAAGCAGAGTCCTCCAGTAAGTCAGAACATGATCAGGCTGTAACATGACTTGGTCAATAGATTTTCATTTACATGCATATTATCAGTGTATGAAATAAGGCCCGTCCAACTGCCCAAGACGGGCTAGATTTCAAACGGACGGTCTAAAGTTTACGGCCAGCCAGCCCAACCGTCTGGTAAAAAATTTAGATAACATGTTCCATACATCTGAATAATTTTCTTTGGATTGTTTGGTCTGGTTAAATCCATTTTGGGCTGGTAACATTTTGAAGTTACCAGCCCTGATGTCTGGCAGGGTTTTTGGCTTATTTCGTACACTGATATTATCGTGCTGTGCAGTCATATGAGTGGAATATTGCTTGTGTGAAAATGTTTTAATTTTTATTTAATTGCTGTAATAGTTTAACATAATATAACAACTGCTAAACAAGGACCATGTAAGTAGGCAAAATTGAATCCACATAAAGTGAAGCTTTGCTTTTAAGTATAATTGTATTTTCGTATGATTTTAAAGCCAGGGATGAGTTCTACCGTAGTTCTTGTTCTTGTGTGTAATTCTGAACTACTTTTCATCTCATTATCATTTTCTCAAGTTGTATGAATGTTGTGTTCCAGAGGAAGTCTGTAGACCGGAGGAGCCAGGATGAAGAGTCCCGTAGTACGGGGAGTGCTAGTTCCGACCCGGCAAGTCGTGCCATGAGGAAGCCCTCGTCTGTGTCCCAACAGCATGACATGAGCCATCGCTACAGTACCCATGGCAACCATGGCAGCCACATCCCGGATGTTGCCGCATCAGCACAGCCAAACACAGATCTGAACATGTCTGTACTGTCAAGGATATCAGGTGGAAGTGCTAACATTCCAGAAACATCTCCACCTCCAAGCAACCGACAAGATCTGAAAACATCCACTCCTAAAGCTAATACTGAACTTTATGGTCCTCGAGCCTATACATACGAAAGATCAAAAACACTGGAAAATACAAAATGGCAAAATATGCAAAACTCTTCACAACGCCTTCCAGTTGAAGATGCCCGTTCACCACCTCACACTTATGCAAAGAGATTGGAGGACTATAGGGCTCCTCAGGGAGCTGAGACAAGTCTCTTGAACACGTCCACTGTGTCTTACCAGTACGGTCAGCCCATACCTCAAATGTCTAGTCCAGAGCCAGTACGTTCTCCTCCTCCACCTCCAGGTGCCAGGCCGTCCCAGAGAGAACTACCTCCAACTCCAGTAGAAAGAGTCAATCTGGCTCCAGCTGAGCGACTGGACCGTCTGACCATGATGGGCAGTGGCAGCTCATCCACTGATCAGGCCTCCCTTCCTGGTCACTATAGCAACAGGCAGAGTCACATGGGTGATGGTCGTGGGTACGATAGAGAGAGCAGCTCCGGACATTTCAGTCGGGAACCAAGACCACAACCTCAGGGAGGTATACGCGGTCAGTCACCAGCTGCACCTAGAAACTACAGGTCTCACTCGCCAGGAGGAAGTAGTAATCACTATGCAACACCAAGCAGACCGTCCTTGCCCAGCACTTCTTCTACCAGCTCCCAGGAGAGAGGGCAGGGAGACAGACCTCCACCGTATGGTAGGCCAACAGGAGCAGCAGCACAGTTCCAACACAGAACACAAAACAGTTTGGTTCCTAACAACCGTCCTTCATCAAACCGTCCTGCTAGTGTCATGGGTCATCCAGCCTTCCAGGTTTCATCTCAGGGTTCCTCCAGGACTGACCCTATTTATTCCACAGTAGATAAAGTCCGATCCAGCCGACCAACAACTCTGGAAGGTGGTTCTGGCACAAAGCCTCATTCATCGGCATCACAGACTAATGGCCCTTACACTCAGAACAGCTACACTTCTCGGTCACAAACGGCAGAGCGGCCAAAGTCTGTTCCACCACATCTGTTCAATCAGAACATGAACAATGACTATCAGCCCTCAGCTCAGAGGCGAGGTAATGTTCCTCCTGTGCCTCCTCCAAGGAGGAGTAGGGAACCAGGGCCAATAAGCCAGCCAGGAAACACGGTCAGTTTAATTCGTGAACCGGGCAGTCTAGGATCTCGGCCCTCAATTGACGGCTCCAATGTTCCTGGTCCTCAACAACCGTCCAACAGTCAGATGGGGTTGTCAGCCACAGCAAGGCTCTTGCCCAACACTGCCCGGCATCAGACTCCTACAGCCCGTATACAGCCGCAGGCCAAATCCTCATCCAGTAAGACTGCTCAGGCTGTCAGGCCAGTCAAACCTGAGGACCAACCACAACAGAGACCTGACCAAGGTCAAGGTCAAGGTCAAGGTCAAGGTCAGGGACAGGGTCAAGGACAGGGACCAAACAAGAGCTCTGTGTGGTATGAATATGGTTGTGTGTAGCCTTGTGTGTGTCTTTAGGTTTTATCAAATTCATTCCAGTTTATATGAAGCAAATGTTTGAACATATGTTTATGTTGATCTTGTAGTAAATTAATATCACAATATTCTCAGTTAATGTTTGTAAATAAATCACAGGCTATAAGACTGAAATTAGTACTGAAAGGACTGTTCCAGTTCCCAATGCAATATCAGGGACCTGTTATAAGAATTCTGTGATATGTTTGGCTCCAGATACCAAATGTATATTAATCATTTTAGTACATAAACATTCCAGCATTTAGTGCTCTGTAGATTCTTAACATGTACCATGCAAGTATCCCATTTTTTCATGATCGTGTTTGATAGGAAAAGATTTTACAGTCAAAAATGCATTTTTAACCCTTAAGCATTGATGGATTATCCCAACTGCTTTGGTAATGACCATGATTGTCATATTGCTTGATTCATTCCCATACATGGCTTTGTTATATGTTAACGCTTTGCATCTACTAAGTTGTTACAGCTCAATGGAAAGCTATGTAAATCTAAGCACTACAATTGTACAGCTCTATCTCCAAGAAATGAGGATTTTACAGGAAAAGGAATTTCAATAAATTCACCAAATTTCCAGAAAGATGTGTCCAGTCGTACATTTAATCACGTAGCCACCTGTTGCCTGGCTTCCTTCTATCCTGAGCATCCATCATTGCTGCTTACTAATGGGTGCTGGTGTTTTTCTCTCTCCAACAGGCATCGCAGATGACTTGATTTACTGACTGCATGCTGGGTCTCTACCCAGGTGGCTCGTCTGGGTGGTCACCAGTTGTCTCCCTTGGAATGGGTTGTTCAGCATGTTGGAGTCTCTGTTCTTGTTTCACACAGTGGAAGCTTTGTTTACTTTGGTTGTATTTTTTGTTGATTTATTTCCCTGTTAGACTGTTGAATTGTTTGTGTTGTGCTCCATAACCCATCATTGTACGTTGGTGTTGTGACTGGTGACGACTCACGCAACACTCAGATTAATCCTGTACGGCCATGTTGAAGTAATGTTCGTGTCAGGAATCTGCAGTGGTGTTCCAGATAATCTGTGCATATTTTGAGTGTTGTGGAAGTGAATGGTAGTTGACTCATGCATGCTTTGGTACCCTCGTAATCTTGGTGGCTGGTAACATCCTGGTAATCTTGTTGCCTGGTAACCTCATTCTTTCTGCTCTCTTGGTAATCTTGCATGTCCTTTACAGTAACTTTCAGAGCCTGAAGAACTCTGTCATGTAATCAATAATCATCAACTTCATATTTTACCCCAAGCTCGATTGGATTATCTGGTTGAGACTTGATTATTGCCACTGTCATAAAGCTGGAATATTACTAGATGCAGCACTGAACAACATACTAATCCTGATTCGGGTTCATTAGAGCGTCTTATCCCAGTGGTAAAGGGTTGGGTATCAGAGAATGACAGCTTTGTGCAAGAACTCTAGGAAGTGGTGATTCTACAGATATTCTGAGCTCTCCTCTTTAGCAGGAGCAGCGACTGTCAAGTGAGATTTAAGGCTTCTTGTCATCCACATAACCCAGGAAAATATATGTATGCAGGAGAATCAAATCTGAGAAGGATTTGTTTCAAATTGCTTCATCCCGTGCTTTACATTAGTGTTTCATTGGCTGCATGTAACGGATCTAAGAACACAGATGCATGTAACGGATCTAAGAACACAGATGCATGTAACGGATCTAAGAACACAGATGCATGTAACGGATCTAAGAACACAGATGCATGTAACGGATCTAAGAACACAGATGCATGTAACGGATCTAAGAACACAGATGGATGTAAGAATAACCTGTATTTAACGGATCTAAGAACATATCTGCATGTAAGAGTTATCTGCATGTAACGGATCTAAGAGTTATCTATATGTGACAGATCTAAGAAATATCTGTATGTGACGGATCTAAGAACATAGGTGCATGTAATGGATCTAAGAGATGTCTGTATGTCGCGGATCTAAGAACATAGCTGCATGTAACGCATCAAAGGATATCTGTTGGTGCAATATTTGAACAGAAGCAAATTGTCCTGTGTATAATAGACTGGTTTGGTTGTGTCCCCATTCCCCTGTCGCCTTGTGTCGTGAGTCTGGTTTATTTATTGTAGTTGTATGGTTGTGAAGTGTCTATCTGCATGACTACCTATGTCCCAGACTGTTCGAAGGAACGAATTGTTTTACCTATCCCATTATGTCAGAACTGTTCAAATAGTTGGGATCAGGGTATCACATTTCACTAAAGGTTCAATACTTTGCCATAAGTACATTGAGAGATTGTGTATTGATAGACCTATTTATTTATATAATCTGATAAGAAAATAAATTCCGGAACGTATTTTCTGATTTTATGTACGAGCATTTTCAAGCCACTGCTATTTAAACTGACTTAAATTTTGGATTCTCATTCTCATTGCATGTGTTGTCAAGCTTTCATGACTCAAGGTACCAATAGCATCTCCACAAAGTGGATCATTCAACCATGTTTGGGAACATAAATGAAAGCAATATACCATTATATTCAAAATATGGCATGAATACTTAGTTTTATGTTCAAGCATTTGTGATGGTTTATGTGTATTCTGACTGTAAAATATAACTCGGCTGTCGTTTCCTCCGTGATGGAAGCCATTGTTTTAGCAATCCTGTGTATCCGTCCAAACAGTGTTATCATCGTGTATATTACCAATCATCATGTATTGTTCAATCACCCCTGGCAACCATTGCAATTCTCTTCTCACTTTCGGGAGAAGCGAGCATTACAAAAAATCAGTTTACATGGAACTAACCTGTGTGAACCTTCATGGCTTCTATAAAATAACAGCAAAATCTTTGTTCAGCAATAACAATACACCTGCAATATATGCCTCGAAATATGTTTGGATAAGCTCTCTTTAGACGAAATTGTACTAATTTGAGAATTGAGTGTGTGCCTTATTAATCGTTATGAAAATTTGTACGACTACCTAAGTTTTCATTTTGTAATGGTAGGTTTTCAACGTAACCACATTGGTGAGTACATGACTTTAACTGCTGAGAGGAGAGTGGTCTGTTGTGTTTGTCCTGGCCCAAACATTCAGCTATGTGTTGCATCAGTAACAAGGCAGAGACTTCTACAGGGCACAATATGTAGATCCACAGACAATGTCATAAAAGATCATTTTGATCTGCAGATCCAATGGGCAAACAGTCCACATAGACTACGGATGCTTACATATGTTATCAAACTTACATGGTGTTGATCTTCAGTACATATCTGACCGAAATCTTGAAGATCAACAGATTTTTACAAATGTAATTCTATTCATGTTTTAGCCCAACAATGTGAACCTACAGATCATTTAGGCCTATAGACCATGTTAAGCTACAAATCATTAAGACCTACAAGCAAAATACTGTCAAAACAAACATGGACTTTTGGGGAAGGAATGGTTGTCATGGTTACATTGTATTATATCATTCGTTTTAGCAATATATCATTTTTACCTACCATCCAGATAGATTTGTCATTATGTAGATAAAGTTGTAGAAATGAAACCATTACGCATTTATTTCGGGATCAAGTGCCTCAAATCTTTGTGATATAACTTTTAAACATATCAACGACTAACTCTAAGGTCCCATCATGTATATAATCTTGTATACTAACAATATTTTCATGTTCTTTGTAAAACAATATGGAACATTGTCACCGATTTGTGTCGATCTAATGAAGCTGAAAGGTTTGTGTTCCAACTTCTTGTTAATATTATGAACAGGTTCTGTAAGATTTGTACAATTAAATGAAGTCCACAGAGCTTGGCATTTTCTGTTTTTCTTGACATTCATGCATATTAAAATATTTTACTTATAAAAGGGAAATTTAGTGTATATACCAGAAAAAGCATTGAAGCTTATATACACTCTAAAGATTAAGTGGAGTAGCCCAGAGCTTATAAATAGCTGAAGGCTGGGTTTGATTCCCTATATGGGTACGGTGTGTGAAGCCCATTTCTTGTGTCCCTTGCTGTGATATTGCTAGATTTTTGCTAAAGTGGCATAAAACCATACTCACTCACTCACTCACTCAAGATTAAGTTCCATATAAACTACACAAAACAAATCATAGAACTCCTGATTCTTCATGTGACATGTAATAAGTAGTTCCTTAACATTTTAGGGGCAGTGGTGTAGCCAAGTGGTTAAAGCATTCACTCGTCATGCAAAAAACCCGGGTTCGATTCCCCACATGGGACAATGTGTAAAGTCCATTTCTTGTGTGCCCTGCAGTTATATTGCTTGAATATTGCTAAAGCAGTGTAAAAATAAACTCACTCAACATTTTTGTGTGGTATATATAACTGTGCAGGAATGACCTGATCATCTATGTCGCTATATAGATTTGCCTCCCTTGGACGTCCCAGAATCCTGTGACAAATTTCTTTTTGTAAATATTCTGTTTGTAAATAATAATGTAATGAATATATATGTTTTTTGGGGGAAAAAATTGGACTTTGTACTTGAAATGTTTGTGAATGCAAACTTGATCTCGTTACTATATGGCTGGAGTAATGCCGATGTGACCTAAAACCCAACTCTACTCAACTGTTACATTGGTCAGAATCCAAGGTTCGCCATGATTATGGTCATGGGTTTGTCAGTATGGTACAAATGGTCATTGGTTTCTGCTCAGCACTGAACCAAACTCGTTCATTCACTATACTGAAATGGGATACAACGAACCTCTATCTCTGGTTGTCACAAATTCCTGACTGCCAGTGGAACTGTTCACAAAACTTCTAAGAGCAGATTCATAAGAGAATATGCCAGGGAGTAACCAGTGTGGATGCTTAGGGCAAAGGGTTTTCTTTGCATTGAAACATTCACTTCGCCTTGTAACTGAGTCTGAGACTGTCTCAGCAGAGTATCCACATGCTTGCTTGCTTGCATAATCACCGCACAGGCCACGTCTCCAGAACATGCTCACAACACAGGCCACACCTCGAGAACATAATCACCACACAGGCCACACCTCGAGAACATAATCACCACACAGGCCACATCTCTAGAACATAGGCCGCCTCCGTGGTGTAGTGGTTATGGTACTTGTTGGTCCCTGCCTGGCGCTAGGCATTAATGGGTACAAGGACTGGTCGGCTCTGTGTCAGTATACTGTGTCTGAGTGGGGTATTCATGCTTCACTGCGGCATGGTATCTCAGTGAGCTAGCACTATAAAACCAGCTTAATGCTGGGCTAGTACAAGCAGCCGCACATACACATACACAGGCATGCACGTCGTCATATGAGCGAAATATTCTCAAGCACGACGTTAAGAACCCTCTAGAACATGATCACAATACAGGCCACGCCTCTAGAACATGCTCACCATACAGGCCACGCCTCTAGAACATGCTCACCATACAGGCCACGTCTCCGGAACATGCTCACCACACAGGCCACGCCTCTTGAACATGCTCACCATACAGGCCACGTCTCCGGAACATGCTCACCATACAGGCCACGCCTCTAGAACATGATCACCATACAGGCCACGTCTCTGGAACATGCTCACCACACAGGCCACGCCTCTTGAACATGCTCA